ATTGCAGAAAGAAAGCTGCTGTAATACTTGGTAGAGTACGGATGCGCTGAGAACCTGCACAAAGCGAAGTGAGGGAAGACAAAATCGCAATTGGGGAATGTGATTAAGGAAGAAAACATATTCATCACATCCATTATGAGGGTTGCTCGGGGCATCCATCACCAAATTGGTTTCAACCCTTGAATCGGGACTGTGATGAATGATATAGGATGAGATATTGACCTCAACACAGCCTGAGAGTGGTACGTTGACTCGTTGCTCAACCTCCCTTAACAGTACTGTACATACTCTACGCAAGGTGAGCGAGCAGTCCAGGTTCCCGGCGCTTAGACGCCCGTTAGGGCCGCTACTGTATTTGTCCAAGGTGTGGCACTAATGGATCTCCAGCTCTGGAGCTTGTGTGCTCGCCGAGTCAAGTCTAACGCCTCATGAACCAGGGTCGCAACGTGCGCCAGCTCGAGCCAATCGACGAGCTCAGGCTGTTTTAAGGCATAGTGCCCCACGCTCTTCTGTCTAGGACCAGGGGTGGTCTTCTTTTATCTAGCATCGTCATTAAGCGTCCAGTCCAGCAAAGACACTGCTTCACTAACATCCTCTGGACCCCAGGCCCCGGACACTTTCTGATTCGTGAATCAGAGGCACGAAACGTGACTGGGCGTGCATTTTATACGCAAGATGTAAACGCAGCCACTACCTGTACCTAGATCGGAGGCCCAATTGGTATCGCCAGCTTGACGCCGCGCGCGCACACCCCAAGTCCATCAATGGTGGTCGTTTCTCGTTTCTCTCCACTATCTGAATCAAATGTCCATGCATATCCCTCAGTGAGAGGGGCTTCCTGTTGCCCAGCCTCCATTCTTTACTAATACCGGTATTTCAGATCGCTTCCAAGTGAAATCCATCCGGTCAAACGTGATCTACATGCTGTTTGATGGACATTGTCTTGCCATTGGTACAGGATGCTGTTTGCCTTTCGCTTCTGCGTCCCGTGCCGGTGTGATGAAGCCGCAGCACCCTGTCTTCATCCTAGCCTCTTTGCTCACACCCTCCTCTTCTACTCCCGTCTCTTCTGCTACCGCTGGACAAGCAAGGGTGCAAGGGTCTAGGGACTAGGGACTAGGGACTGGGTTCCAGTGTACCAAGGGCCTAAAGATATGGCCGCACACTCTGCATTTAGCACTTGCTCAAGTCTATTCTTGTCTCCATCCCCTCCGTGACCGCCATCCTCATGCTGGTTCCCTCAGTCACCAGTGTTGAGCTATAGTGCATACATAACATCCCGTAACCGCCCGCTCGCACGCTCCCCTGGTCCCCTCCTCCCAAGTTTTGCGACTATTGTATTATCTCCTCGACATCACGAGGTCTATGTTTTCTTTATTTGTTTCTATTTGTTTCAAGGCGTGTTCTCGATCGTGCTCAGGCACTGAGTTCTAAAGAAGCAAGTGCCGGCAACGGCCAAACTAAGCAATCACCAGCTGGTATAACCAATCTCACCATCAATATTTGGTGCCTGGAAGCATCAATATCTTGACACCACTATACAAAAACTACAAAATGGTAGGAAAGAAAGCCTTGAGGGTAAATATCGACCCAATCGCTGATATGCTGTATTAGGAGTACTCATCTTTCCGAGGCGGAGACCGCTTGACATATTCGCAAATGCGACAACAGCCTCTTCCCCGTGACACATTCTTCAGTCTCAAGAACGACTCGCAATTATTGGAGCGCCCAATTTCGGTAGCAACCGAATTTGTGGACACGGACTGGGAGGAAGAAGATGAGATCATTAGCGATGAAGAAGATAACTCTCCTCGCATAAGTTTGCAATCGGTATGTATCTTGTACTTGTTACTGAATCAAGGCTTGGGAGACACTGACAACCGACTCTCTTCAGGCCGGACAACCTAGTTTCACAACGGTTTCCTCCTACGATGAGATCCCAACACCAAGGTCGAGTAGAAGTCAAGAGGTTCCAGTGGAATACTCCCCGAAGCAAGTTGAAGGTCCTCGAGGACCTCACCTGTTCCGAAACTCAACTGACCACTACTCGTCCACCGAAGAGGACATTATTCTGACACTGTCGCCTATTACTCCCAAGGGACCTCGAAACATTACCGAATTTCTTATGTCATCTCAGCCACCACCTCAACCCCGTGCCAGTCCCTTCCAATACACTGATGCCGAACTTAACACGACAACTCTTGCATCATGGACTACTGAAATGGTTGCGCAGGCTATGCTCAATGCTGGCATTGAGCTGTCCGTGGCTGACCGGTTTATGGAGAATGACATCAGCGGTGCGATCTTAATCACACTGAAGTTCGAGGATCTCAAGGAGCTTAGCATCCAATCGTTTGGTATCAGGACTAAAGTTTGGCATCAGATTCAAGCCTTGAGGGATAGCCGACCTGCACCCCCTCGACCGGAAACACCAATTGAGGATGTCCCAAGTAGGGACGTGGTGCGGGAGACACGAAGAGTCGAAGATAACGGGCTAAGACGGCGTCAGAGCAGCAGGCGAAAGAACCGAACAAAAACAAACGGTGATGATATCACTCCTATGGAGTCAGTTTCCATTATTGGCATCGAACAAGTCATTCCCAAGCCTCACAACTGCTCAAAGGGAGAGAACTGCTCCAAGTACAGAAAACAGCAGCAACTTATCCGAGCGTTCAAGAAGGAGTATCCCCATGTCGACATCAATGCTACCGGCACCGTTATGATTGGTGATGCTGGAAACCCACGGACAGCTAAAGCACTGGACCCCAACAAGATCCGCCCCATCTCAGATGCTGAACCTTCTGTCGTCGCATCCTCCGATGTTATGGGCCCTGGTATGCCTCCTATTCAGTATCTTTATGAAGCGTCTCTTCGTGGAGTTCAGGCACAAGATCCTCAAGACAACGTCAGGCAATTCCTCAACTTTCAGCACCAGCACGGGGGAGAGTGTAGCGAGGAAGTCCCTCCCACACCCCCGTTTGCTGGAATTCCAACTGCTCAGGCCCAGCTTCCTCACCAAGGTCTGCGCCGCCTTCCCAAGCTCTCCATCCCTGGCAAGGCACCACTACCACCTTCGCGACTTGGTGCCTCGTCTGTTCCACCTCCTCCCCAGAAGAACCAGTCTCAGAACCAGTCATATGTACAACGTCAGCAGCAGCAGCAGCAGCAGCATTACCACCAACAACAGCAACCTACTTTTGCCCCTTATCAGATGGAAAGGACCAGCCCTCGGTCCCCTGACTTGGAGATGACACCTAGGAACAACTTTCGACATGGTACACCTTTCTCAGAGCTTGATGTCCCTGTTACAGCTGTACCCATTGGTCCTGTTGCTCGAGACTTCTCACAGTCTGTTCCTCCTGACATGAACTACCGCACTTCTCCCACCAACAACGTTTCCCCTCCCCGCTGTCAGTCTCGTACTTCAGCCCGTCGCCCATCTTTCCCTGTGATGCCCGCTCTGGAGGAAAACAGGCCCATTAACACGACCAGACCTTCTCATGGATCGTCATCACCCAAGTCACCACGAGGCTCGCGAGCACAGCAGCCCCTTCAGCCGCCTCCTCGGGACAACCTCCCCTTCTCTCGCGGTCAGCTTAACGGCTCTGAGAAATTATTAGCACCATCTATCACACCTCTCGGTGCTAAGGGCAAGTATCCCTCTGCCGACCCTGCCAATGGCATCAGCCACCAAGGCCCCATGAAAAAGCGTAAGACCAAGATGCTGCGACATGAGTGGCAGGACGGTTACTTTACTCTGAAGGGTACTCGTCTCAACATGCACAAGGACTCTGAGGAGTTGGATCGCACTCTCGAATATGTTGATATTGATGACTACGCCATCGCTTGCTCAAGCGTGGCTTCTTCTTCCAAGCTTAGCGCCGCTTTCAAGACAATGCACCTTTCTCGTGGTAGTCACAGCCGCGAGAAGAGTGATCCAGTAGGCGCCTTCGCTTTCCAACTCATTCCTCAAGACAAGAACACTGCGCGCCTTCGCAAGCGCGAGAGCCACCTCCAGCCCGCTGGCACAATTCCCGTCGAGGGAGTAAATGGCACGGGCAAGACACACCACTTTGCCGTCAAGAACCGTGATGACCGTATTGACTGGATGCGTGAGCTCATGCTTGCAAAGGCTTTGAGGCAGAAGGGTGAGGGCTTCGAGATCAGTGTCAATGGCAACATGATCTAAGCCGTCTTCTACAACTTTCCTTTTATTATCTATGAAAGCTCTCCTCTGCATTGCCCTTCTTTCGACCTGATCGCATTGTTCAGATGTCATTATCTCTAGATCATTGCAGATTAGGCTGTTTGTTTTTATCATTTGTGCTGGTGTTTTGTGTGCTTTTTATATGTCAGAACGTACAACCACTTATGCGGATATTGCCGCGGCTCTCTCGCGGGATGCTTACACAGCGGATACATGTTAGCTCAAAACGAGCAATGGTTCTTTATGGTTTATGAGTGTTTGGGGATTTGCATATGACGTTTTCTTGGGTTGGCTACAACCTGGTTATGATCTACCTACTTTATACCACTCGCACACGAACGACTCTAGAAAACGCAACACAGCACAACCCAATTCCTTCAAAGGTTTATGATCGACGACATGGATACCATTTGGCGCTATTTGACTTTTTACTTCATATAGGTGGCTCAGGCTAGCTTCTTAGGATAGGAAAACAAAATGAAATGATGAATTTATATAAAAACATGTCTGAAAACCTACTGTGATGTGTGATTAGTGCTATATCTATGCGAGTACTCGACCACCAACGACAGGCATGTAGCCTTTTGTTATTTGTAGCCTTGCCTACTTCCAACAGATCATGTGATGCAGATATATTTAACATGATAATGACCTCGAACATTATAGTGCAAATAGGGAGAAGAGAAGTAGAAACTTTCCATATCTATATGCATGAGATTGCGTGATATGATGATTGCACCAAGACTGTAGAGCACCATCGTCATGATTTAATCATGATTTGATATATTCATCAATGCCTTATGAGATATTAACGGGTGAACAAGAGTATCAGCTCCCTGTATGCAGCCTTGATAGACGTTAAACAATGTGCACAATGTTGAGTGTCAAGAACCATCTCACTCCAGTCACTAAATACCGCGATATAATATGTTTTCACCACTCAAACTGTCACATACGACCACAGCTCGTGGAGAATACGGGGTCCCGTCCGCTCCCCCATCGTCAAGCCACGAAGCGCCAGATTAGTAGTTGGGTCGGTGACGACCAGCGAATACCTGGTGTTGTATGTCTTTTCCTTTTGATGTTTTCCCTTTTTGCTTTGTGCTAATGGTTGGTCTTCTGAGCCTATATATACATGTTGTAGTGCTATCATGTCTCGTTGTCCTTCACTCACTCCTGCATAGACATTACTGACATCAAATGGTACATTTTCCCCCACCTGTATATGCAGAGTACAATATCTTACAAAACTCGCTCGTCCTCCGCCTCTTTGTATCTATCTCAATGCCGTAACATCGTTTCCCTAGCTGTACAACCCGTCTACACAAGTCATGATATAACATTTCCCAACCCTTAAACCGACTTGAAGTCAGGTCGTAGCACTCCTGACTTTTGAGCGACCTTCTCCCAGTCAATAAGCTCCCACCAAGACTCTGCATATGCAACCTTTCCACCCTGACCGCCGGCACCGACACCCCAGTCTAGCAACCAGGCGTGCTCCCAGGTGTTTAGGCACAGAAGGGGCTCAAGCTCAATACCTCCTGGGGGGAGATCGCCAGATCGCTTATTAGCGCCGTAGGCCTGGTTGTTGATGAAGTTGCGAGCGGAACCATCCTTGCCCAAGGTGTTCATGTCGGTACTTTGGGCACGCCAGTGAGCGCCGGGGTAGGGAGAACCGGCGAGGTAGGTGGGCAGAAGACGGTAGTCGCCAGGGCCAGCCTTGACAAGCCAGAGGAAACCGGGACCAAACATGGCGGAGGCTGTGATGACAAATTCTCGACGGAGGGTCTCGATGGAAGAGAACGAAGCCTCGAGTTCGTTGCGGAGAGCATCGGGCATGGGGGTGCCGGTCGGGGAGATACCCTGGAAGAAGAAGTGGTTGTTGTGCGCCATGGAGGCATAGTTGAAGATGGGGGCCTGGTTGGGCTCTCGAGCTGTCATGAGAGCAATGGTCTTTGTGTCCTTATCCTCGAGCTCGGTGCCTGGACGGGTGTATTGTTAGTAAGTGTAGTATCTGTGGGCTGATATAGAACTGAATGTGTATGAGAAGCATTGAGTTTGTTCAATGCTCTCTCACATCATCAATGCCACACGTACCAACAGTCAAAGCATTCAACTTCTCCACCATGAGGTTCATGTACTGGGTCCAGGCGAGAGAGAAACCTCCAGGGCTCATAAGGTTGGGAACACCCTCGGAATAATTGTGTGGCAGCTCGGGAACATGATGGATCGAACGGCGGGTATTGACCATGGGTCGCATGCCAAGGCCAAAGGCCAGACGAGGAACCCTTAGTCTCGGACGAAGCATTGTCTCTGATAGGAAGGGCGACGGTGTTGGGCGGGAGGGAAAGCTGTCGTCAATTGAGCCGTCGTCGTCGTCGAGTTCGGATTGGACTTTTTTGGTGTTTAGCGGGCTCTCGTTCTGATAGGCCTTGCCTGAGGATTCTGCGCGGAGCTAAGTTTAGCCGAGAGAGTATGCACAGCCATAGTGATCTGGATGCATGTGGCTGTGCGTAATTGTAACTTGCAGTTCCTTTTCAACTCGTCTCGGTTCGAGCTGGGGAAAAGACACGCTAAGTGGAGTGGCTGAGTTGAAGAACTTGAGGGTCTAGGTCAAATTTAGGCCTAGGTTCGGTCTAGACTCAAAACGAAGTGAGATTCAATGTCGATGACCCGGCATAGGTAGACATGGCTGCAGCGGGACAGGTAAGGTACAACGCAGTTAGTGCAGTACGTAACTCAGCACCTAACGCAATGTTCATGATCACAAGTGCCTCTTTTTGACTTTCTCCTCTTTCTTCTTCTTGTTCTTGTTCGCCTTGCTTTGATTCGATCACGTAAAAAAGGGCATTCCAAGTTTCATTTCATAACACATTTTGTCAGAGTTTTGTTCGCCAAGCTCATACTTTCGCCTCTCCTTCTCCGCCCCCGTTGGACCCTTTTCGGTCGGCCTGAAACATCACCACTCTCTCTCTCTGTCTCTCTCTCCTGTCTCTCTGTCTTCCTTTCGTCTGAGACAAGCGACATCATACCCAATTAAAAGGATAAATCAGAAATTTCCATATGCAGCCTCCCTCCGACCTCGAAGTTATACCCGTCGCTGTCGATGATGCATCTTCGTTAATATCTGCTTCTTCAACTGTCGTTATCGAAATGGCTACTTCAATCATTGCCTCGGCCACCTCCACTGCCACTTCTACAGCCGCGTCGGCTACATTTATCTCGTCCGCTCCTCCAAAACCCTATGGCGAAGATGGCTCCGGCGGAGAATGTTCATTATTGGGTTCCTTTGCACTCGTCGTACAAGGCGCACTCGGCGCTTTGGCGTTGCTCTCTCTCGTATACAAACGGTGGAGAGAGCGTCCTCAGCGACCTCTAAAGATCTGGTTCTTTGATGTCTCCAAGCAGGTCTTTGGTTCTGTGCTTGTGCACATCGCCAATATCTTCATGTCCATGTTGACAAGCGGCCGCTTTTCGGTTCAGGTCGACCCGTCAGCAGCAACAGTTACTACGCGTTCCGATGACGACGACTACGCTCCCAACCCGTGCTCTTTCTACCTCCTCAATCTCGCTATCGATGTAAGTGCCATTTGTGCTGTTATCTCTGCTCTCCCAAATACTGACACCAACACAGACCACCCTCGGTATCCCCATCCTTATCATTCTTCTCAAGGTTCTGACCGGTCTCGTCCGCTACACGCCCGTCGGCCAACCCCCCGAGTCTGTCCAGTCTGGAAACTATGGCAGCCCGCCCAATGCTGTATGGTGGCTGAAACAATCCGTCATCTACTTCTGCGGTCTATTTGGCATGAAGGTCTGCGTTCTCATCATCTTTATCATGATGCCCTGGATCTCCAAGGCCGGTGACTGGGCCCTTGGCTGGACAGAAGGCAACGAGAAGCTCCAGATCGCATTCGTCATGATGATCTTCCCTCTCATCATGAACGCCTTACAGTATTACATTATCGACTCGTTCATTAAACTTAAGGACACCGACTACGAAAACGTCAACAGCAACGAATCTGACGATGAGGGTCGACGCAGGAGATATGATGACAGCGAGGATGAGACAGCGCGCGCTAGACTGGTCGATTCAGAGCACGAGACAGATACCGAGTCGGATAATGAGGTCGATAAGCCTACCGCGCGTTCTGGGAACCCTTCTCGCCAACCCGACACCAGAGATTCTGGGGAATACGACCCTGAGCGCGATGGTGACGATCGGACGATCATAGGAAGTAGCTCGAGTGGCCGGGGCCCGAAGGACAAGGTACCCACCGAGTTGTATCCCAAGGAATAGCGGGCAGACGGGCTATCCCGCAACAGCGTTTCTTTTCTTTTTGTTAGATTTTCCTTATTCGGCGGTATCGGTGTTTTTCGAGCGATTTGTCTTGGTCTCAAGTTATGAAATTCTCTCACTATTGGATGGTGCACTATGTATTTGCACTCTTCATGCTTGGGTTTCTTATAGCGTACAGTGGAAGAAGGCAGGCTTAGAACGTAAATAGTGGTAGGGCGTTACAAGATGGGTTCATATTTCGGTATTAGAAGCGACTACATACAATCTCATTTTCAATACAGTCTCGATTTGGGTTCATACTTTCTTGCAAAAATGGTGCAATTCCGTCAATCATTGCTAAACTTTAGAATACTTCACATCAACACAAAAATAGGCAAGATGTAGGTCACAAATTCTGAAAAACTGTACATGCTATCTATCCTCAAGTCATGCCGTCTTGATGCGTGGGACCGAGGAGTGAACGGATGCCAACCACGTTAGTCGTATCAAACTCAACGTCAATTCATCTTATAGCTAACAGCGAGATCTATGCTTAAATTGCTCGTAGGCATCTCGTCAAATGGCGAGAATAAGAAGTGCATCATTGGGTTTTCCAACCGAAACCCTACAGAGTATCCAGACCCGTATCCTAATGAGTGCCATATAGTCCAACCGTAAACGCCTATGCATAGAAAATCAAGTCAAAACCAAATCCAAAATTCAAAAAACCAACTCTGTATCCGGAAAATGCCGAGACAAGTAGAGGCCAAACTGAACGCCTGTGCTTTCCTTCAGTCCATAATCTATTTTATGGTTGGTATGGCTTGAAACCTGGGTAAGGCTGCTGAGGCTCGTAGCTGACGGGTGACTGAGACTCAAGCAATTGTTGCCGTTGGGGCACGGGCCGAGGACCGTAATTACCCTCCGGACCTGGTGTTGGTGTTTGGTAGTTGTTCATAGGAGCAGGCGATTGACGGGGTGGTTGAGCATAGCCAAAATCATTCTGGGGGCCAGGCGAATGGCGGACAGGTGCATTGTAGCCATAATCGTCAGGGATAGCTGGAGAGCGGCGTGGAGGAAGATTTCCGTACGAGCCAAATTCATCCTGATGCATTGAAAGTCGCTGAGCAGGGCGGGGTGAAGGGCTTGCTCGGTATCCTCCATAGTTTGCTGCGGAATCCTGAGGTGAGGCACCTTGACCGTAGTTGTGCGTTTGACCATGCCCTTGCATCTGGCCAAAGCCCGGAACTTGTTCAAATCCTTGGTCGTGGCCGTAGCTTTGGTTACCATAAGGATTCTGATTTAAGGCTGGAGAGCGACGCTCATGCGGCATGGGAGCGATAGCAGCAGGAGCATAGACTTGATTAGGCGGGGGAGGTTGATAGCCGTAACCTTGCTGGTCGAGGGGCGAGTAAGGATCAGTAGCTTGTCCAGAGCCCAGGTAGCCACTGGAGTTGCCTTGAGGTTGACTGTACGGAGTTCCCGCCATACTATGTTGACTAGGAGGTGGTTTAGAGAACGTATCCAACTCAACAGCCTCGGTATAGACTTGGACCTTCTTGCCCTCGGAGCTGGGCATTTCGGGTAAGGCGTCATCATCCTTCTTACTGATTTCGTATTCAGCATATTGAGGTGGCTCGTTTCGAATAGGTTTAGAAACCCCATACTCAGGTACCGAGGGATTCATTGGGGGTTCAGTTCGGTATCCATGGTGTTGAGGCTGAGGAGGGTAAGGGTCGTCAAGGTGCTTCGTGTGACTGCCAGGAGGATCACAAGCACCGCAGCAGTTACCGCAACACTTCATGCACTGGCAGCAGCTACAGCAGCACGAGAGCCCACAGCAGCAGCAGCGAATGATGCACCAGAGAATACTAAAGATAATGAGACCTCCGAGGATCATAACACCAATCACCGGCCACCTAGAAGATTGTTAGTGAAAGAAGTATAGGACTAACAGAGGATATACACACTTGCACCACACTACACTCATACAATTGTCCCAACTAGAGATGGCAGTTGCAAAATCGTCGGAAGCTTGTGAAACATTGTCGGTCGTTTGTGCGGCATCAGCGAGCATATCTCGTCGTGTAAGGTCAGAGACAATAGTTCTGACGAATTTGTCCTTGACGATTTCCCAAGCGCTGCCTCGAAGGCTTCGCGCCATAGCCTCATCAATGGAGGGCATTGTGTTGGTTTTTGTCGCAGTTGGCGATGGGTCAGGCTGATAATGAGTGTAATATAATTTGTCTGATACGCCGTATATGGTGATGTGATTGATATCTCGTGCTGTAAATGCTGGATATGTTGGGTATATTTCTCGGTTGTAAGAGAGTCGTTATAGATATCTAATTGAGTTTTGTGAATGTTGATCGAGAAATGGCAAAAAAAAAGAAAAAAAAAAAGCCAATGTGAAATGGTATTTTGAGACAGCGACGTATGTGGTATTGTTTCTTCGGCGCGTGGTTCGGTTTGTTGATGCGGGTCGTTATCGGAATGAAGGATGGTAGTTTGAATAGTATCCTGGATGGACGAGTAGAAAGGAAAGCGGCGCTCGCACCGGTCGGTATACAAGAGAATGAATGTGATAGAACAATCAACAATAAACAAGGTCGAGAGAGTGTAAACAACCTATGCTAAGGTTCAAGATAGGCTTAGGAGTTTTTAGCCATGTTGCCAACGGCGTAAGTGGTGGATGTAAGAATGAATGAATGAGCGAGCTTAAGCCAGGGAGTTGAATAGAAGTTCAAAGGAATCCCAAGGAGGAAAGCGCCCACCAGATAGAGGGACCCAGCGTTACCGCCAGTGGCGGGATGATCCAGGGGAAAATGGGACTGCTAATTTTACCCCTGGACAGTCAGGGCAGGCGCAGGCGCAGGCGCAGGCACAGGCACAGTTTAGGAGTGGGGGCAGGCGCCAAGGGACTTCTGAAACTGTGAAACTCGGAAGGAAAGTCGATTGGACTGGATGTTGGTTAATGGGGGCGAGAAATCATTTCAGTCTGTACAACATCGCAGTTTTATAGAGAACTTGAAGGCCAGTTCCGGGTACGACGATGTCTGTCTGTCTATCTCATGTATTCAACCAGATTCCATCGATAGATGGGTCTTCTGTATAAGCCAAAGGACAAAGGGACCGTTCTGTCGTATGGGTGACGACGCCTTCATGGCTTATCCCTCAAACCCAGGCTTCTATAAGACCGACATAGGATGATGCACATGCGCAAAGAAGACTGCAAGCATGCTGAAAAAGTTAGAGTGACAGGATACCTAGGTTGACATGTCGACGATCGTTGCTACACATATCCATCATAGCCATCCATCTCCACGTAAAGTCTTTAGAACAAACAACATGCTAAACAAATCCCCCATCCCCATACTCTGTCTCAAACACAACCTCGAGTTCATATCATCCTAGTTTATATGCGCGATATTTACAACCCATCAATTTAACTCCAGCTCGCGTCAGGAAACCCATGTGCATTGTCACGCCGTTAGCTCCTCTATCAAACCCTGGCCCCAGCGTGGGCCATTAAAGGCATCCATTTTCCGAAATGACAGGGTCGTTTCGATAGCCGGACGATCTTGTCACAGAATTGAAGTGGTAAGTCAAAGGGTTTTCAATTATTGCATCATCGGACCACCTATTACAAAAAATAGTCCGAAAGAATAATCCAGAAACCTCTGCTGGATATCGCAAGAGATGTCATGAGTATTGGTATCGTGACAAACCCTCACTTTTACCTTGCAGGTATGCATGCACATACGGCTGTCGGCCCAACTATTTGGGACTTGGCGTCGACAAGACCAAAATGCCAAGGCTTGGGCTTCTTTAGCGGTGATTACGATGTGCATGGTAGTTCAAATACGCCGTTGAGCTCGGTAGCATTCCCTCAACAGTAGATATTCAGATCGTCGTTCGCTACAACGCAAGACTGACACCTACTCTGGGAAACCCCCAATACATGGTATCCATCAAAAGTGTTGATCTGGATGGTCCCATGCAGACTCCTCTTGTCAGCGGCTATGGCGTCAATGCGCCTACCAATCGATGCACCAGAACATTCGTTCTGCGAGGCTGAAACAGAAGGATGTAAGACTATTGAGTGCCTCATGACAACAGTGCTCTGAAGAAATATTCCAATACCAATAGAATAGATGCGCGTGTGTTAATATGCGGCCAAGGATGTATATTGATAATATCTGGAAGCGAGATGTGACATATGATACAACAGTCGACTATAGCAATGTGTTGTTGACACAGGACCATGTAATAACGTCTGACATAAAGCCATGGCAAACAGCATCACCGACTGAGTCACATTGAGAGGTCTGTATTAACGAGTGGTGGGCAAGTATCTCAGAATCCGATAATTATTTACTAGGGAAAAGCTACTTGATTATAAGAAAGGGTATTTCTCAATCCACCCAAGAACAAAAACAAGTCTTGCTCGTGAGAGCAAGTACTCTATTCCGCAGCTCCTCTTGATAAAGAAGCAGCCATTGCATGTCATGATTCAAGCTCCCAAAACGCCTCAACAAGTGGTATCCTTTCATTTCCTTCCCTTTCCATATCGATCGTGTATTCAGAACAATCTCACATTTCTATCCTTCTCTTAGCTTACTTGCCAGGAGGAGGTCCAGGAGGGGCAGTGTATCCGCCATCACGCTGATATGTGCCCCCGGGCTGCTGAACTCCAGAGTTCTGGCCATAGTAGCCGTCGTTGGCGTTGTATGCCGTGCCAACGTACTGAGGCTGCTCCTGCTGACCATAGGCGAGAGGCGCATTGTAGCCACCGTTGTTCTGTTGGTAGCCTCCTTGGTTGTAACTCTGGTTATAGCCACCTTGGTTGCCGTAATTGTAGGCCTGGTTGTTGTTGTTGTTGTTATGTCCCCAGGGCTTGGCCGCCATCCAGCCAGTGCCGTAGACGGGCTTAACGCCACGACTCTTACGACGACGGGAGATGCTTCGTGAATGTTAGCATACAGGAACTGATGGTATGAGGATCATGATGAGAACTTACAGGCAGCACATAAGAAAGAGAAGGAAGAAAAAGATGACAATGCCCGCGACTACCCAGCGTCCCCAGTAGGACCAGCTGTTTCGATAACATCTGTTTCTACTGTAGCTGTAACTGTAGCCAGAGCCACATCTGAAGTCGCGCGCAAAGATGAGATCGTCAGTGGGCGCCATTGTTGTGATGGTCGTTGCGATTGAAGATGAAGATGCGCGAATTGTGTTTATTTGTCGCAGCAACACGAGAAAGATGGTTGAGTAAGCAACGTTTGGGAAATGCTTGAATTAAACAAAATTTGCTTTTAACCCAAGAGATAACTTGTTGCTCGTTTGCGGCGTTGAAATGGCTTGGCTTAGCCAAGGGATGACGTACACTCGACGGTAATGATGCGACTAGCGATGAGTGATGGGGTGACGTCTTGTAGATAAGTAGTGCTTGTAGGTTTTTTTTTGTCACAGAGTAGCTCTGTGCAAGGGAAATATGAGGATGTATGACTGATTGACAATAAAGATAAAAACAGGAAATTATCAAATCAAAAGGGACAAGGGCGAGCACAGAGTGTGGGAGGGCAGCTGGTCTTTGTATTCAACCTGCGACTCGACGATATCAGCCAAGCCCGGCGTAAAATCCACCCAACAGGGTCAAAGCAGTCTGCGTAATACGCAAAAATACGGTCACAAGCTCTGTTTTCTGCTGTTACTCTCTGTAAAAGTCTGGGCATTCCCGCTTTTTTCTCTTCTTGGCTGTCCAAGGTTCGCGATTGTAGTGGCTGTGCTTAAGATACAGTAACACTTTGAAGCTTGGCACTTACATCACGGTAACATCCATCGCCTCTTCTACGTTTGAGGCGTGTGCCGGGTTTCCGCCCTTTACAATGACGAGTCAAAACCGAGACCGTCATCAATGCGCAGCGAATTCTTCTTCGCTACGGATATCAGGTTAGCTGGAAACACAACGGCCATGGTTTTATCAAGACTCTTTACCGGCAAGTTTAGGCCGTGATCACCAAATTATGTGCCTAACCAAAGTCCAACTAAATCTGCTGAGCCTCAACCCGTCGTGGCTCTATGCCCACCTAATCCACGACCTTCGTTGAAGCTGTGGCGAAGCCTAATATTGATGACGACGGGGGTCCCACCCCCAGCTATTTTACTTTGTTTGATCGAACGGCACATCTCAGAGAGAAACTAGGTATTTGATGATGTGGGACCCTTTTACGAAAATTCCAAACCCTTGATAAACAAACAGGTTGTTTTGAGTACATGTGGTTTATCCAGATCGACGCCCTCCACCAACAGTTGGAAGCCTACATTGCCACGCCCTTAACTACACAATTAAGCTTAATGGTAGCAGACACTTCTGTTTGTGAGTGGCATCATGAAAAAATTAGGTCAACTGTCAATTAATACGTCAAGCGCTTCAGGGCCGTCGTAAGGTCCAAGAGGACAAGTTAACAACTATATTATTGTCACTCTGGTAGTGGTCATCTGCACTTGCAATAACCTGTATTGTAGTCGAAGCCGCCCAAGTCCTCCGATAACATCGAATATTGTGTTATCCAAGAGATAGTCCAATAGCTCTGTTCTCGCATCGACACAGCCTTTTGGTGTTTTGGCATGTTCCATATCGTGATTGGAAATCAGCCAAAGCTGCCTCCTCCCAGTGCATCGCCACAAAACAGCGATCACCTCATATAATACTAAAAGTCAAACGCTTGTTGCCTTAAACCTCGCAAGAGGGCCGATCCATTACCGACGGCATATTGCTTTTGTGTCCCAACGCCGTCAAATAACCCTTCCGGCAAACGTCAAAATCGTACATCATGCGCATTTCCCTTCGCATGAGCCACATAATCTCGTAAGTATGTACAGTGAATTCATGAGGGTCGTTCGGCTTAGAGGCCAGCCCGAGGAAAAGAGTATCGTTGACGTCGGAGCTCGTCGGCCGCCTTCATGTTGCGTTCCGCTGCTTGCTGAGCTTGCTGTCGCGCCGCTATCGCGTTAACCTTCTCACGGGCCTTGAGCAAACTGCTGTTATCCTGCTGCTTGATCTTGGAACGAATATCATATAGTTGCATGAGCGTGCTTGCCCTTTCCAGGTCTTCTTCGAACTAAGTAGAAATCCTGTTAGTTATCAGGTCCTGCTTAGTCGTAGAGTATACGGTTCGCAGGATTGTCTCACATCGGATTCGCCGCGGCGAGGAGTGCCAGGAACTGAGTTTCCGGCTGACCCTGTGTGGGAGCTAGGAGAGAGAATACGTCGGCCAAACTTGTCGAACTTTTCGGATGACCAGTGGCGCTGCAGGCCGGTAGGACGTTTCTGGTTGTTGGTAGAGGGACTCGAGGTAAGGGCATTCACAGTTGCGTCGGTTCGGGGGTAACTGGAATGAGCAGCGTTGTTGGCGCTGACAATGGCCTCGGCAGCTCCAGGGTCCTAGACAATGAGCGTCAGTATTAATCACAAACACAAGTGGTCAGTCGCAGCAAGGACGCGAAGCTTGCAGCGTAGTATGAAAACGTACGGCGGCGCCCAGGTTGCTGAGGTCGGCCAAGACCTGGGATAGCTGAAGGCTCTCCATTGTTTATAGTAGAGATTTGTTTGATACGTGTTGCTAGTGGGTTTGACGACGATAAAAGTAGTTGAAATTACTTCCTATCGCATTCATACGAAGGGAAAAGAAGAGTACGTTGAGTCAGATCTAGGAAGTAGGAGAGAGAATTGTGTGGAAATGAGAAATACTGTACGGAGGGGAAAGGTGTTTTTGACCTGGACTGGATACGTTACTTGCAGTGGGCGAATTTTGGGTTTCGGAGGGCAGGAGCAGGCTGGCAGGCAGCTGCAGATCCGCACCTACCAACTTGCAGGGGGGACAACCAAACTTTAGGCGGGTCCCGAAAAGGTAGGTACCTGTGAGATCCAATAGAGTGAACTGGTGCAATAAAACGGTGATACAGTTCATCTTTTCTGAATCATTAATACATACCATTTACTGATGAGGCTCATTATATGGTGATATAATTCATGACTTAATCAGACATTGCCGTAGACACAATCGGAATTCCACTCCGAGTAGGTACAAGACAGATTCAATGCGAAGCATCTTCAACATTGCTGAGAAATAAGAATTAGTGAAGCAAAGCACCACAACCACCGCGGTACACAACATCATTGGCCAGATACGAGATTCTAAAAGTCCAGAGCTCCATGACTGCATTAATCGTGCATATGAAAGCCGGTCCATGCCCCCCGGATGCTGTGGGGGGCTAAATGCTCGATATCCTAGCATGTCAGCCGTGTCAAGAAACCTACCTGAGCCAAGTGTCTGGGGTACAATAAGTGTCCGATTTCTCCCCCACACTTTGATTCCGCCCATCTATGGAGAGAGGAGAGGATGTTAAAGCCACAAGTCTAAAAGAGTAATGTCTGAAAATGAAGTACCGACCAAAAAGAAAATCTCACCACTTCTCTCATATCGAAACATACGTAAAAGAGATCGAATAAAGACGAGATATACGGGTTGCTTTTGCTTATCATGTTCTGATCGTCGGTCTTGTCCGATATTGCAGGTCGTTTCCCTTATTTATCCAGAATGCCACAGAATTAGTTGGCTGGGTTGCATTCCTCCACACAGCGAACATTATTCATCAACATCGCATCAATCTCCGCTGTGCGCCCCGGACAGGAGGAAGGATTCCCATTATTCAGCCTGGTACTGTCGCCCAACGCACGCGGACATATGGAGGCTTGTCTTTATCTTGCACTTGGTATTCGTTTTCTGGCTCTGATGAATTTTATCTACGTCATTATACGAATGACCTCATGGTCAGCTCTCACGAATTATCTTGTACTGGACTCCTGACTTTCAGTCGCGCAAACACATCGTAGTTCTTCGTCCGAGTCTGTCCGATTTCGGGGCACATGATCAAATTTCGACTGAATTGAAACGTTCCCCTAATTATCCAGGTGTTGCGTTGAAAGACCTGCAGCCTTTGGCGCATGCAACCCCTCAACCCTCATGGATACGGAATTGGAGCCTGACTGGGGTTCCCCGCAATGCGGACTGCCGATGCTGAGCTTTGAAGCTAGACAAGTAACTTGTGGGGACTGAGAAGTTCACCTAGGTCTAATTGTTAGGCATTGCATAAGAGGTCCCAAGTCTCTAGGATGGCCATGTTCTTATGATGATAACTACAATCCGAACTTGCTGAATACACATTGAAAACGGGTTCAGCACCTTATGGGTTATCATTATGAGGACAACTCGCAGCCTGGATGGTTTCCATCAAACCCGGAGAAGGGTTCCGTGTTTTCCGCAAATGCGGCCAGATATATCATGCACAATATTCATACACACTCAAGCTACATTAGGACTGGCATAATGTGGAGCTGACATTGGATCCATCCATTCTTTGTTCTCGAAGCGTGCGTATGCAGCCTAACTTACGAGTTATTGCCATCACATCCAAAAGTCCGAAAGTACTCCGAAGTTCATACGCCGCATGACAATCACTTCTGTGTATCGGGCGTTTGAATCAAGGTTGCAGAAACAGCATATATTATTTAGGTGCCTAAATCGATGCCACGTGCAGGACAAAAGCAATAAAAGCGACGTTTGGTTAGTAAATACTGTTGATAAATTATTAGGGTTACTCCTTGAACATAAATACCCTTCTTTCTTCCCTCTCGCCTTTCCCTTTCTCGCCTCTTCGGCTAAATATTGTAAGTCAGCCAAGATACTGGGAAGTTCATTGGTTAAAAGTTTAGAGAATGGAGTGAGATCAGGACTTCTGAACCGTGAAGGAAGCTTCAGTTATTATCGATTGATTAGATTCAAGTCGCTACAACAGATGTATTGCACAGGGCCTGTCGAAGAATCTCTGAGCATAAGAGACAAAACAACCTTGACCCTTTATGCTAATTGAGACACAATGTTAGGCTTTTCGTCTTATGTATTCTTATGTACTTTAGGCAAGGATGAGGTAAGTCTTGCATCTCAAGACTGAGAATGTTGATGATGCACACACTATAGATCCTATCTAAGCAACTACAAGGACTAAATATATATTGTACGCATTCCTTTGTAAACATACAGCATGATCATCGCTTGGGCTTTTCGTTTTAGAGTTGTCAATCGCGCTTGAGAAAGAAAGTCTAGTGGAAGCTTTTCGGTCATTATAATATTTGACGATGATGCCGTATATCACTCAATATTGACTAGAACACTTCTTAGAAAACATAAACTACTGACCTAAGAATTGATTCAGAATACCGTAATATTCGTCACTAATTTCGTCCCTTATGATTTCAAAATCACGTCCCAACGCCTGTCATTTCACTGACCAAATTAGCACCAGAATGCTCTCGACTCATTTATCATAATTTTATTCAAAGTGCTCATGAAAACTATTCATAAATCATCTTTACGCGCCAAACCAATATCCCATTATTTTCTTTGGGTGCTCGCGTTATCCTCAATGCATCATTAAACCCCAATCTTTTTTTCTTCAGGTCTCCAAGGTTCCCTATGCCTTCTCAATTCGGCAGATGAGATCGGAACCATCGACTGAATCACCCTCACGCACATGGAGTGATGTGACCTTGCCTGAGTGAGAAGCACTTACGCTCATTTCCTGTACAAAGTTAGAATCGATACCAAACAACAATGAGGCAATAACTTACCATCTTCATGGCTGACAGAATGGCGATCGGGTCACCCTTCTTAACCTCAGAGCCTTCGTGAACACGGAGCTCTACCAGGACACCAGACATAGGCGCGCCGACCTGGCTGGAGTCATTAGCATCGGCCTTAGGTCGGCTGATGTTCTCAACAGCAGCCTTCTTGTCAACAACAGTGACCTGTCGGACCTCTCCGTTCATCTCGAAGAAGACCTCACGCTGTCCAGTATTCTCAGACAGAGGACCAACAGCAAGAAGCTTGAGAATCAAGACCTTGCCCTTCTCGAGCTCAACGTTGAATTCCTCACCAATCTCAGGGCGAGACAGGAAGTATCGAGTGGGCAGCACGGAAAGATCACCGTATTGCTGAACAAATTTCTTGTAGTCCTCAAAGACCTTAGGGTACATCACGTACGAAGCAAGGTCGCACTCAGTAACTGGTGCGCCGTACTTCTTGCCAAGTTCGCGCTTGGTCTTCACGAAGTCAACAGGTTCGAGGAACAGACCAGGTCTCTTGTCGAGCTTGCGTCGGCCACGAAGAGCATCGGATCGAAGAGGCTCGGGGAATCCACCGTAGGGTTGACCCATCAGACCCTCGAGGAACTCCAGAACGGAACTAGGGAAATCGAGTTGAGAAGCCTTCGCCTTGACATCTTCAGGGGAAAGACCGTTGGAGACCATGAATTGAGCAAGATCACCAACAACCTTAGAGGTTGGGGTGACCTTGACGATATCTCCGAGAAGCTCGTTGGCATGCTCGTAGGCCTTCTTGGTCTCAAGCCACTGGGATCCAAGACCCAACTGGGAAGCTTGGAACATCATGTTTGTCAGCTGACCACCAGGGATCTCGTGCTCGTACACCTCAGGATCAGGTCCAGCAAGGTGAGCCTCGAAAGGAGAGTAGAGCAGACGGAGTTGCTGCCAGTACATGTCAAGTGTTCGGACAAGCTTGGGGTCCAATCCAGGGTCACACTCACTTCCCTCAAGGGAAGCAATAATAGCGTTGATGCTGGGCTGAGAAGTCATTCCTGACAGACTGTCGGTGGCAGCATCAACAGCATCGGCACCAGCCTTTGCGCAGGCGACCATAGAGGCGACACCGGTACCAGCCGAGTCATGGGTATGGACGTGGATGGGAAGATCGGGGTACTTTTCTCGGATGGATCCAATTAGCAGTGTAGCGGCATGGGGCTTCAGTACACCAGCCATGTCCTTGATACCTAGGACGTCAATGTCAAGAGCGACAAGCTTGTCAACGAGAGCAAGGTAGTACTCAAGGTTGTACTTCTTGCCAGGACGAAGCACTGTTAAAACAATTAGCTAAATTATCATAAGTTTAGAGAAGCGATTAGCTTACTGTCGCCACTGTATGAGACTATTAAACAATTAGTATAACATGCTTCCCAAGGGTTTAGAAATCTGTTGACTCACCAGTTCCTTCACAGACACCCCCAGCACGTTGAACTGCCTTGATACCGACTTCAAGTTGATCAATATCGTTCAGAGCATCAAAGACACGGAAGATATCGACACCGTTCTTCTTGGCCTGGTCAACGAAGTGATCAATGGCGTTATCAGGCAGCGAAGAGTAAGCAACACCGTTGGCGCCACGGAGCAGCATCTGGAAAGGAATATTAGGAACAAGCTTTCGCATCTTGCGAAGTCGGTCCCAAGGATCCTCATAGAGGAATCGCATAGCGACATCGAATGTGGCACCTCCCCAGCACTCGAGAGAGTAGAGGTTAGAAAGAGCATGACTAGTCTCCTTGGCGATGCCAAGCAAGTCGACTGTACGAACACGAGTAGCCAGCAGCGACTGGTGAGCATCTCGCCAAGTTGTGTCCATAAGAAGAGTGCCCTTGTACTCGCGGATAGCCTTGGCAAAGGCCTTGGGTCCTTGCTCGAGGATAATGTTTCGCCATCCCTTGGTGCAAGGCTGGGAGGCATCAATCTTCTCTCCGGCAGAGTTGATGAACTCGGGGACCTGGATCTCGCCCTTGAACTTGGGCTCACCGATCTGGCCCTTGATGCTGCTGCCGTTGACGGCAACGTCGCCGAGGTAGGCAAGCAACTTTTGGGCACGGTTCTGACTGCCAACAAGGTCGAAAAGCTGAGGAGTATCGTCGATGAAAGTAGTCCAGCAAGTTCCATCAATAAAGGTAGGGTGGGTAAGAAGAGAAGCCAGGAAAGGAATGTTGGTTCGGACACCTCGAATACGGAACTCGATCAGAGATCGGAGAACCTTTCTGCGAGCAATTTCGTAGGTAGAACCGTGACAAGTACACTTGGTAAGCATAGAGTCGTAATGGGGAGTAATGACGGCACCGGCGAAACCGTTACCAGTGTCCAGACGGACACCATTACCACCAGAAGAGCGGTAGACCTCGATTTTTCCAGTATCGGGTTGGAAACCCTTGGCAGGATCTTCGGTTGTGATACGGCACTGAATGGCAAAGCCACGAGTGGAGATTCGATCCTGGGTAAGACCAAGCTGGTTCAAGGTGGCACCAGCAGCAATTTGAATCTGGGCAGCAACGATATCAATTCCGGTGATTTCCTCAGTGATCGTGTGCTCGACCTGAATACGAGGGTTGATCTCGATAAAGTAATGACGGTTCTGCTGGTCGACCAGGAACTCCGCAGTGCCTGCATTGCGGTAGCCAGCTGTCTTGGCCAATCTGACAGCGTCGGAAAGAATGTTGTCACGGACTTCAGCGGGAAGATCCTTGGCAGGAGCAATCTCGACAACCTTTTGGTGTCGTCGTTGGACGGAGCAGTCACGCTCGTACAAGTGAACGATGTTACCGTGGTTGTCACCGAGAAGCTGGACCTCAATGTGCTTGGGCTTGTCAAGGAAGCGCTCAACAAATACAGTACCGTTACCAAAGGCAGTTTTTGCCTCAGAGGTGGCACGCTCAAAGGATTCCTTGAGGCTCTCCTGGTCACGGACTACTCGCATACCACGACCACCACCACCGAAAGCGGCCTTGATGATAATGGGGAATCCATACTTGTCAGTGAAGTCCTTGACCTCCTCGTATCTCTCAACGGCGCCCTGAGTGCCGGGAACAACAGGGACGTTGGCAGCATTGGCGAGCTTTCGGGCAGAGACCTTGTCACCGAGCGAGTCAATGACCTCGGGGGAGGGGCCGACGAACTGGTCCGGGGTTAGTGCACGGGCGGAGCGGGAGTGGTGGGGCACATTAGACTTACGATGAGGCCAGCCTTCTCGACCTTGCGGGCAAATTCGGCGTTCTCGGAAAGGAAACCGTACCCTAGGAGCTGAGTTAGCGTTGCGAATGCCGGATGCCGAAGATAAACAAACCGGGGTGGATCATTTGCACGCCGTGTTCGACAGCAATCTTGACAATCTCATCACCAGCCAGGTACGCGCCGACAGGGGTGTACTGTCCACGCTTCCCAATGACGTAGGCTTCGTCGGCCTCTGAAATACATCGTTAGCAAAAGGGTTTTGAATAGATAGTATAGGCTTATCGCATACTCTGTCTGTGCATGCTCAATCGGTCCTCATAACTTTTCAAGTTAGTTTATTAAGTCTCGTGCCGTCAGGATCGCATGAGGGGTACCTGAAGACTGCAACAGTATGCAGCGAAAGCTCGTGAGCCTGTAGGTGGTTAGCGCCTTAGTCTATGCATGAGCCGTACGAAACCGAGAGTTGCAACCTACAGTTCTGAAAATCTATAACCGAATACCAGTGTCAGCTTGGCAGTGTCTACAGGGAGCGAGCGGACGGAAGGAATGGATAGGTAGTCATACACGGATGGCTGTTCACATGTTTGTTAGCTGATTGCGGGTCTGTGATGGAGACTGAGACTTTGACTTACGAATTTCACCACGGTTGGCAACTGCAGAGAAGTAAAAAAGACAAGTCAGCGTGGTTCCTCACAATAAGCAGTGGGGGTCACTGAGCCCTCCAGACAAGCCATTGGTGGCTGTTGGGAGCGCGCCAGCTACTCACCAAGAATCTTCTTCACATGCATGATGCTAGAGTTGGCGCGGATGTGGTGGACCGAGTTGGCCTCCTTGGGCTCATCGATATCCTCCTCCTCAAAGACATCGTTGAAAGTGAGCGGTTGCTGGGGGGCGATAGCAGCCATATTGTGCGATCTACTTCAGTGACTTGAGCGTCAGAGGAGTTGAAGAGTGCGAAAGCAAGAAGCTGTGGAAAGGGAGCTTTATCAAGAGCTCAATGGCGGGGGTCTCTGGCGTATGGTGGGGTAGGTAATGAGCACGCTTGTCGGTATGAATACCACGACAGCTCTTCGACCGCGATATCACCTTATAGCGCAAAGAATCGTAGATGATTGATTTAATGCGTAGCAATAGAGGAAGGTATGAGGTTGAGAAGAAAGGAAATCGAAGCGAAGGGACATGCAGGCGGGCGAGGGGGTTTTGTAGAGCACTGTGAATCCCCCAAGTCCGTCGTCGGTGACACGCCCGGCCTCCGGGGGGGAAGAGCTATCCAAGACGGGAGGGTGTGGGATTGGTAGAGCGGATTGTGAGGGCGTGTACGTTGGAGAAAGCCCGAGGGGAACCAGGTGTGAGAAGGCGCATCACATCCTAATAATTTGGCAGGCACCGTTTTGTACCAAAACTTACCTACCCATGGCGGCGCGGGCGGAACCCTTCCACTTGATCTCACATCAAAACTTTCCAGCAAACAATCAAGGCATCACACTAATAAAAATAGCCTATGACTCCAACGGATCTGCTTCGGCCTTGGGGACGTACCTCCATGCCATTGCGGGGGCTTCTACCACAGAGAACAGGAGACAGAATCTCGGGGCTGTTCCCAACTAACGACTGGAGTGGAACTTGGTTCGGCCACACGACGACCTTACCGCGGTACCTCGTCACTTCAGATTCTCTTACTACCTATGGATTGTGTATGCTTTGATGGCGTACAGTTAAGCGACGGTTGGTTTCCCGTTGAGCATGACAGTATGTGTCCTGAAGGGCACCCTTCTGGCATATGCAAATATATGATACCACAAGATATTGCTGACCGGGCCGGTCTCTGTAAAATGGATGCCAACAGCAGCGGGAAAAGAAAAGAAAAAACAGCAGAAGGGCGGCTATGAGAAATTGCAGCAATAGGACACCAACCTGGCGGGATGAACCCCGGAAGACGGGGTAGTAGTATGGTAGTATACCATACGGGGAATCGACACGGCATAGCTTCAAACAAATATTTCATCGCGCCTCACCCGGGAACAGCAAAATGAGAATAAGACACAAAAGCATGGGGGGAGGTCAGGGTATTGATGCAAGATATGGTCACAAATTGACACAAGCCCTTGTTACGAGAGTGATAGCATAACAAGATGCCTTTTTATAGCATCTAAGCCAGGATGAGATACTCAGAAGAGCGCTTATCATCTCCGGCTGACAAGGTGCCGCTGTTTTGAAAAGATCACCAAACACATGTTTTGTTTCAACAATGAATGGGCTATTATTATTAAAGTTGATCAGTGCTCTCGGTCTTTTTTGCAACGAGCAGCGAGACAGAGTGAAAGTGAGTTGACGCAACTCATACCCCCGACACATCTTTGTTTAACCAGTCCATTGACCAATCACCATGCTCTGATAGTGTCTGGACTTCCCACCATGACTTGAAGGTATTATTCTGGCTCGAGCTCGGAGCTTTTATCAACTCTAGTTATCTGCGAACCTAATAAGCATATCTTGATATTTATCTATAGATCTTTCACATAATGGTTTCAATGAGCGCCGATCTTCTTCCGCCATTACGTCTCGAGCCATACTCAGCATTTCAGCAAAGGAGAAATCTCCTCCTCAACAATTCGGCTTCGGCCTAAAGGTACATTGCGCTTTTTACATTTCTTTCCACGTACACCGACAGGCGCGCACCTTACCTCTAGAGGTTTTGACGCTTTACCTCTAGAGGTTGCCTGCACCGCGTCTTTACCTCTAGAGGCTTGAGGAGGTCGTTGTTGTCCCACACGCCTGACGCCGGCGTAGTAGCGAGCAATCTGTTTACCTTATCCATGGGTGGCCATGTCATGGACCAAGGGAAGTCCAGTCAAAGTATCCACGTTTACATCAGACTGGACCTTCCTCAATGCCGAGGATATGTGTGTCTTTGATGGCAGCAAAATCTGGTGTGATCATCCTGGATCCTTGCTCCAATGCTTTCACACATTGTAACACAGAGCCGCAGTAGTGTTTATCCTTCTTCCACAGTGTCTCGGGGTTGAAACCCTTGGTGTTACGGTGGACGACCGTGACACCGTACACCTTGATCGAGGGATCTACCTTACCTACCCCCACCATTGATTGGACCCTGGCTACGTTCCTTGGTTCAAGCTCAATCTCATTGAATCTTGAGCTCACTGAGGTCCAGCTTAGCGGACGAGTGTGGGGTAAACCAACGTACCAGATGTCTCAAAGTATTTGCGCTGCCACTGCTTGACGTTTGATCATGGTCTTATTTTAGGCTGTATCGTCGACCTACTCCTGGTTCTGTTAATGCGTATCTCTATTGAGCCTGCTCGCATTTGATGGAGGTGTGAATAAATGTTTATAGCCGACCCGCGTCCATTGATGCGACGAGGTACAAAGCCTGAGCACAAAGCGAGTGTGTCTAGGTATTCATCAGGAATGGCGATCACTCGCCTCAATGTTTTACATATCCTCGTACGTGCTCTGCGCTCAAGACATGAACATCAGAGCGCCGCTTTTGATTGATTGCTTCGCGAGGTCAGCGTCCCGCCTTTATCAGGCGCTTTCATGAGTGACCACATTCTACCCCCACGGAGGTCAAAGGCCGGCACCTATTTTATTTAAGATCGAACCAGCCAAAACCCACACCATCCCAGCTAACCAGGACTTGGACGGCGGCATGACCTGCCTAACTATGTGTACGCTCGGAGGATGAAGACCGGCGCATTGCTTCGTTGACCAAAATGACGCTTTTATTGGTGCGCATTTGACCGCATATCACAACATGTTGCTTCTGTGACTTTGCCATTACGTGACACCAGTTAGTTACAGGCTGAAAGCCTCCACTGTCGATGAAAACGACTTACATTTCTCTTTTTGTCAAACCGACAGGCTCTTTTCCTGGGACTTGGGTCCAGACAAGAACATGTTGCAGTTCCTACCTAGGCTATTCATGAGAAAGCGAGCTAGGTCCGACCTCGGCCTTCGGTGTACCCCTCCGGTAGTTTTGATATTACAAACAATTGAACAAGGCCGAGTTGAAGTCGAAAACACGAATTGGGGTAGGGCTGAAGAAAACCGAATAGGAAGGCATAACTCGGTTCGAAGTTGATTCATCGTTACACGGCGTGCATCTATGAATCTAGTCGGCCGAAAATGTTCGAAGCACTGACGTTTCCCCTCACAAATACCGAATTGATACAAAAAAAAAAATTAGAGTCCACGTTGACTCTGACACTGCAGGCTACGGATTGAGCATCAACGCAATCGGATATGGAACTCATGTACACTGGGTTGTTCTACAAGCAGCGTGATATGACAACAATGCGGGCCTGTGATTCGGTTTTTAGTCGACATAATTTCAGCAGAGCATTCACCACTTTGGCTGAGCAACCCCATAACAGGGCTTATCCGAATCGTGAACGCTTCCAGGATGGCTCGTCATGAAGGGCCACAGGAAAATCATGCAACATCAACAAGACAATTCTTCTTAACCAGCGGCTAGAAAAGGCAACACGCGGGTCCGGCAATGGTTTGGTAATAATAGCGTGTCTCCGAGTTCATATCCGCCAGGGTTCTTGATGAAAAACAAATATCCATCTCCACGTTCACGGGCAGAATCCGACCAGAACATTGCCAATCCTGTCTAGACAAAGGCTGGGGTATACATCCCGACCATGCATTTGCTGATCATTGGCAGCTAGTCGTCCTTAGTCTCTCCTTCACCAGGACCTTATTTCGCCACGTTGTTGTCCCGATGAGGGAAGGCCAGGCACAGGCACGAGAAGACTCGGGTCTTTGTATGCAAGATTCGGGTCTTGGATGGCTCCACACAGTTCTTGGATTCACCTTGTTCATGTCAAAGACACTGGCGAGTAGTTAACTACATGCCTATCATGTTCCGAAGTGTCTGGGAGTTTGCAACATGTTCTGAATCTACAAGCGGTAGACGACAAGCCTACTGAAGATGCGGTATGGTCGAGCGTTTCCACTATAAACACAGTTAAAGAGCCAACGACAGAAGCAGGTAAGTAACCTTGTTGGTCAAAGGTGTTCATCTAAAGTCGGCTGTTGCTCCCACCGTAGCTTAAGCATCTCGGGAGCGTCCCCGGGGGACCTCACTTATTCTCCGTTTTGCGGGGGAAGAGAGTATTACCTCAACTACCACTCGTTCGTTACTTTGTGGTGCGGTACTGGGAGGCATGATAGTATTTTTGCTTTAACCATTTTGACTGATCTAGGGTCTCCAAATTCGATCCCTCCAGCACCTCTTCCGTGCACAAGTACTGCAGGTACCCCGGTTCAGAGTGCAATTCTAGACGATTGAGGGAACAAATTATTGTAAAGGTACAAAGTCATTGTGCGGTAGTTGTGTGCTGATGACACTCTCCGAATCCCGAACCCCAACCCGGGGGCGCTCCCATTATATGGACGGCTTACAGCCCGATATACCGATCCGCCCAGTGGCCGTCTGTCTAGCATCCTCTTTATTTACTGACAGCGTTCTGAACCTTCTCCGTGGCCTTCTCTACCTTGCCCTTGGCAGCCTCAGCCGCTTGCACCAGCTGCTCCTTGGGCATGTTCTCCTTTCCGCCCCAGTAGTGGTAGTTCAGGTATCGGTATCCTTGGGTGAGCTGAGCACCAGCGTTGACGAAGTGACAGGCGAAGAGAAGGTAGTTTCTGGGGGTGACAGCGAGAGAGTATCGCATAAAGGTACCGGCATAGATGATAAGAGCACCAGTCATCTGTCCCGAGATCCTAACAGAGATAAATTAGCCATGAGACTTGCAGGCAAATTAAGTAGGGATTTCGTACAACTCGGGGCTCTTCTGTGTGTCCATGATGGCAGCCAGAGGGATACCAAAGTTGGAGACAGGGCCCCAGAAGTCTAGAAGAAACAGTCAGTTCACATCTTTGCTTGTTAAATACCCCGAAGCTGCCGTGTCCCTGAAGCATTGAGCGCATCAACAAATACAACCACCCGCAACCCAATTGACATATCACAAAAGACCAGTAAGTTTTTGCACATTTATCCCATGCACAAGCATTCTGGTGAATGTATTGCGGTCGTAGGGTTGGATGTCGAGTTGCGATATCACAAAATTGCGCTTTCGGAGACGAATCGGAGCTCATGCAAAAAGCATGACAGGACGTTGAGGGACGTACGGGTCGAGCAAATGTAGTCAGATACCGGGTTGGACCGGATCTTGGCGTTCGCAGCCTTGATAAGAGCAGCCATTTTGGATGATTTTTATGAGGGGCGCCGTGGATATCGGAAATGGGAGCGACCTTTCGTTGGGTTGAGGTGATGCTGGTCCTGTTCTCGCAGTTGAATTGGCCGCGCCGAACAGGAAATTTCCAGTGTTGGGGTCACGTGCACATCCTATCTTTGTTTGCTACCTCTCAACCATTCCCGTTGTGTTACCATGATTAAACTCCTAACCCCGAATATCAAAACACCGTATACATTTTTGCAGCGCATTTTCGACTTCTCCTCACTCGATAGTGATGTTGATGTAAGATAAAAAATGCGCTGGAGGTGTTGAATTACCAGCTGTAGCGAGTCCATCACCTGCAATTCACCGACGGTCTGGAATTGAGAGTACAGCTGAAGCATGGGGTCCTTCGGAGGTTGTCCGTCTGAAATAAACATACTTCAATCGTTGAAGGGGCGTGTACTGAAGACAGACTGACACCACGCTACTGCTGTACCTAGGTTCTAACTTGTCACTTGTGAAGTTCGTGAGATGTTATCCCGGAGGGTTGTGGGGGATTGGAGATTATGCCGAGCTCTTCTCCATCTTCTACAACACAGGGCATCCTTACCCCAGACGGGTATTGGGGGCTCAAAGATGCTACTCATTTTTTGTTACTCTCCAATTCCTATGTTAATTCAGCCCCATTTTCCTATTCGGTTGAACGTTGGACGCCACAGGAACAAGAGAGTCCTGTTCCAGAAAACTTCTCCTTACAAGCTTCCACAAGACGTCCCTCACTTAAAAGATAACTAGAAACAAAGGGTGCGGCTATCAAAGCCTTAATGAAACACTCCAGACTATCCGGGGTCTTTGGTTTCTTTTAGGCTGGTTCCTGGGTGCAGCCATCGTGAAGACAGGCCCGGGTGGACGGTACTGCAACCGGTAAGATATCCCGGTCACTCCCGATGGTAAGGATGGGTCGGAATCTCTTATACCATGGGACGTAACGTGATCAGCCTTGTACCACCCCTTGTGCCGAGATCCATGGTATTCGTTCCATTCATCCCTCGGTCTTGTTCTGTAGCCGCATGTGCGGGTAGACTAATAACTAACAGGAGCCGCTTCCGCTTAGGTCTCGGCCGTGGAGAAGCTCACTGAGCTGTTAGACCCGAAGTGAGCCGCCTACCATGTAAACGTTCGTCAAGAAAAATAATCGTCATTTGGAAGATCCTTTCGAATACATATGTACTTTTTCTTTTAGATACCGCTTGGAGATACGTAAGTATAGTTGTCTTTTCTGGTGTTGCAGAACGATGACTTCCTTTTGCTTACCACTATTGCATCTGATTGGTCAATGGCCCAGAGTTATAATGCATACTCTTTCCTCGAGAAGTAGAGAACATAAGATATGAAAATAGTAAATCAATTATATTCTTAGCACAGGTCCTCGTGTCATTTACTATGACTTCTTTCAGTTTAGAGATCAACTTTCCTTTTGCGCCTACGACTTTCTACTAAGTATTCAATGTTCGGATAACCCTTCGTGATCTTCTGATGACTTTATTTCCTAAGAACAAGGAAACAATATCAGTGTATAGGATATTGAAAACCTTTAGTAGAGTACTTATCACGAATAATACTATGATTACCTATTTAGATCCATAGTATTTGCCAAGCACATCATACAAACAGCTTACCGTCACAACCGAGGCTACCCTAGACCTGACTATATATGAGCAGTTGGACAAGAAGCGAAGCATGTTTGTGACAAGCTATCATTAACACAAGATGGCATAAGAACGGCATAATTCATATGGTGGAAAAACAGTCCTTATAAGGGTAGGTACGTCGCTATTGCCTGTACCTCCTCTGTCCGTTATCCTCGCTTGTATGCCGCGTGGCTGTTTACATCTCCTAGCCACAATCGCGATATAGAAGCATAAGGAGTAACTAGTTGGAAATTAGGTAGACTACTGGGTAGTAGAAAAAATGGCCTCCTAAGTCTTAGGGTATAAAAATAAGTAGTCTAAGAACTATAGCCTAAGGGGTATAAGATGACCTACTATTTTCGTCTCTTATGCTTCCAGCGGTCAATTTTTCTGATACCCTGAGGGCAGAAACTGAAAATGTTAAAGAATGATTGCTTATGACTCTTTAACTTTCGCTAAGTTATGAGTTTTGAAAATAGATAAGTTTTCTGGCCACTGAGGTTAAAGATGCAAAATTGCAATATCCAAAAAAGGGTTGGTGACTCATTGTGACTGACTATCTGTCACTCTGGCCAATGCTCGTTTGTCATGGTTGGCTTTGCCACACGGAAAGCGACAGGGCTCCACCGATTCAACGCCTCGAGAATTTGTTGCCAAACGCTCCTCATATATGATCGGATTCCTTCCTCTTCCTCCTTTGAGAGTCCTACTTTCTCATTATTCTACCCCGCACGGTTGGGTCTGCAGCAGGACTGTTTACATCGGCTCTTGTTTGACCAAGCGTCTCATTGCTTTGCCAAAACCTTGCCGGACGATCGTTCATCATAATCTTTATTTCTAGTTTAAAGTCGCTATATTTTACACAGCGCAATCATTTTATCATCAACAGGGCTTCATACAACTGCCTCATCTTGCGCCATCATGGCTGAACAGGAATCTAACCGTGCCTCTAACCAGGCACAGTCTGAACCCCAAAATCGACCTCAGAATGAGGGTCAAGGGCCAGCTTCAGGATCCCGAGGAGGCTCACGTGGAGGACGCCGTAGGGGAAGGGGAGGACGTAGTCGTGGTCAGCGACAAAATGGTTCAGCACCTGGAGGTCGTGGAAACAGCTCCCAGACAGAATCTGCCACAGCACCTGCCACCTTCCCTACAGAGCCAGCAGCTTCTGGCGCACCTGAAAGCTCAGGAAACCCCAGGAACAGACGGAACAGAAGGGGCAACCGAGGCGCTGCTCGAGGCTCAGTAGAGCAGGGCAGAGGCGTTTTTACAATGGGGCCCCGACGACAATTTGGTGGCCGATTAACGACCAACGAGCAATCGTCAGACGCAGCTGACCAAGATGCATCCTTGCGAGCTAATGCCCCAGAATTTGTTCCTGGACAACCAGCGCCTCAAGGAGGGTAAGAAATCCATTTGATCCAAGACGAAGATTGGGCCGAGACTAAATATAACAGAAATGGAAATCAACCATTAGGTGCAGGCGATTCTCAGTCTGCAGCACAGCCTCGTTCTAGAGGAAACCGCACAAGGAATCGGAAGCAAGACAGACCTCGTCAGGAGGTCCCCAAGTCTACTGCCTCCGAGCTTTGGCAACGAATTCAAGAAGATATCGCCAATTGGAACTACGAATGTCGAATCTGTACCGAGGAGGTCACCCGAAAAACCGAAGTTTGGTCTTGTACCACCTGCTGGACCGTTGTCCATCTTGAATGTGCCCACCAATGGTGGGATACTTCTATGAAGGTCAACGAAGAGAGCGGCGACAAGTCATGGCGTTGTCCTGGATGCAATTCAACCTTGACCGACGAGCCAGGTAATAGTTCATGCTGGTGCGGCAAAGAAACGCAACTCAGCCGGAATAGTCTCCTACCCCCTCACTCTTGTGGGCAGACCTGTTCCAAATCCAGATCGACATGCTCTCACCCATGCACTCTCCAGTGTCACCCTGGGCCATGCCCACCTTGTACCGTTCTTAGCCCACCGGAGCCGTGCTATTGTGGAAAGAACTCTCAGCGAAAAAACTGCAGAGACACCGATTACTACAACGGATGGAGCTGTCGAGAGCTATGTGGTGATCTGCTTCCGTGCTCACAGCATGAATGCACTCAGATATGCCACCCAGGCGTGTGTGGTACTTGCGAAGTAACAGTGGAGACGAAATGCTACTGTGGACGAGTTGAGAAGGAGATGCAATGCTCCAAGCAGGATGACGTGTGTGATTCATATGATGATGCCAACTGTTCTTGGTTCGAGGGATCCTTCAGCTGCGAGAATAGTTGTGGAAGAACGTATGATTGCAATGTCCATCGTTGCCAGCTGCCTTGTCACCCACAAGACGAGCTGCCGGCTCATTGTCCTTTCTCTCCGGACGTTGTAACCCAATGTCCCTGCGGAAAGACGCCGCTCAAGGAGCTTGTGGATGACTCTCGTCAGTCCTGCAGTGACCCCATTCCTTATTGTGAGAGAAAGTGCGAGAAGAAGTTAGACTGTGGTCATCTCTGTCAGTTACTTTGTCATACTGGGGATTGTGGCTCTTGTACGGACGTCATGGAAGTCGATTGTCGCTGTGGTCGAGTTACATCTGAGACGATGTGTCACGGCGCAGAAGTTCAACACCCTTTGTGCTTCAAGATCTGCCAGGCAAACAGAAACTGTGGAAGACATCGCTGTGGCGAGCATTGTTGCCCGGGCGAGAAGAAGGCTGTACAGCGGATTGCCCAGCAGAAGAAGCAACGTATTGGCCCCGACTCGCTCCCAGTCGAAGCCGAACACATCTGTTTGAACACTTGTGGCCGACCACTCAAGTGCGGCTCTCATAATTGTGAACAGCTTTGCCATCGTGGAGCTTGTGCAAGCTGCCCCGAGGCCATCTGGGAGGAGATCAGTTGCAACTGTGGCAAAACAGTTCTTCACCCACCGCAACCTTGTGGTACTCGTCAACCGTCTTGCACTAGTCAGTGTCAACGCCAACCAGGTTGCGGCCATCCTCCTGTTGTCCATCAATGCCATCCTGACGATGTGAGCTGCCCCCCATGTACATACCTAACGACGCGTGTGTGTATTTGCGGGAAGACCACATTCCACAACAAGCCGTGTCACCTCCAGCAAGTACACTGCAGTCAGGTGTGTGGGCAGAAGTTGTCTTGCGGCCTTCATACATGCAAGAAACTATGCCACCGCCCTGGAGAGTGTGGAGATGCGCTGGCCGGCTGCGAACAGCTCTGCGGAAAGCCAAAGCCTCTCTGCGGTCACCCATGCCAGAGTGTCTGTCATGGTCAGAATGGTAAGTCACTATGCAATGTGATTCAAACAGACCGACTAACACTTGTTCAGCTTGCAACGAATCCACAGCCTGTCAGGTGAAAATGACAGTCAAATGTCCTTGCGGCAACCATAAAAAGGAGTTTAAATGCCTGACTAGCACCAGCAACCCAACTCCGAATCGTCCGGAAGTCCGATGCGACGAGGAATGCGAACGCCTCGATCGCAACCGCCGCCTTGCTGCGGCTCTTAATATCGACCCGGCTACGCATACCAACGACCACGTCCCATTCTCAGACGACACTCTCAAGCTGTACAAGCAGTTTCCCAAATGGGGCGACGAGCAAGAGAGCCAGTACCGTGTCTTTGCAGCTAACAAGGATGAGGTTCGTCTGAGGTACGAGCCTATGAAGAACGTCTCACGCCAGTTCCTTCATCTTCTTGCCGAGGACTTTGGTTTCGAAAGCAAGAGTGAGGACCACGATATTCATCGATCCGTACTCGTTTGGAAAACGGACAAGTTCGTCTCGGCGCCGCCAAAGACACTCTCCCAATGTGTCAAGATTCGAGCCACACAAGCTGCTGAAGCAGCGGCAGTGGCAGCAATTCGACCACCCAGCCCGCCAGTGTTGGAGACAGAGCCATTCAACGCACTGGTCCTTATTGAGCCCCGGTTCGGGTTGACAAACGATGATGTCAATACTGCTCTTGCGGCGGACCTCTCATCACTACAGGGATTCTCATTCAAGGTTGACTTTCTCAATGAAGAAATCCTTATTAAGGCTACAGTTTCATACTCGGCGTTCCTCACGCCTGCTCCTTTAGAGAAGAGCCTTGAAATACTCAAGCCCCGCATCGAGCAAACGATTCGCCGCGAGAAACTCGCCGAGAACGTGCTGCTCTGCCATTCAGATGTCAACGGCGCCATTACCCGTCGCGAGGTGCCACGCCGAGCTGGTGCTGGAGGATGGAGTGCCGTGGCCGGACGCGCGGCGTCTAAGTCAGGATTACCATCCGCGACAGAAGAAGCTAAGCCTGGTCGCAGACTGCTTCTTGGACTCAAGAAGAAGAAGCCACAGGCGGAGGCGGGAAAGGTGTGGGCTGCCCTCGATGGGGATGTTGAATGCTAGAAGGGAGTGACCTGACCGACCCCCTGACTGCGACTTGAGGATGTTAAGTCTCATAACAACATAGCTAGTATACTGTGCAGTACAGATATCTCACTTGAATCGACAAAGAAACATAATGACTCCAAAACTAAGCATTACAAACATGAATTAACCAGTCTAAGTAAGGGTCGTTCCCGTCATTCGAAAACGTGGGTGTTTAGACCCTCCAATGCCTTGCATATTCTAGCTCGAACCGTCCAATGACAGATTAAATAAGGCGTTGAACGTGGTGGAAATGAGGCCATCTCAATTAAACTTGCATGTAAGACATAGATGTAACATCAACTATAATTTTTTTTCTTCGCATCACGCGAGCGTACTTTTGCAGGTTGATGGATGTATCACATGAGACAGCATCTCCACCAACACCACACTCACAAACGGGTAGACGAAAGCTAATTTTGGTCCATCAATGAATGTCTCACAATTTTCAAGTTTTCCTTCCATTTTGGGTGAGGGGCTGTGCTCAAGAAATATAATGATCGCCAAACGACGAGCGTGTACGTATTATATTTACTTTTGAAGAAGAAAGTATGTAGATGCAAAAAGGTGTGTGTTAATACAGAAAAAGTAGGTATCGTTCAATCATAAGTGCTATGCTGGATGCTGTCCGTATGCTTTCCTCCATTTCTTTCTGTTCACTTAGGCTGGCCATGCGTATCTGGAATGAAATATCAGGGAACGGTGTTACCGAGTCTCTACGAACGTGCCTTTTCTTTCTCTTGGTCACCTGTCACTTCGGCAATGAAGTCTGACATGGCTTCAAAGTAGCCTTCTTCGAGGACACTTGAGTTATGGTCGCCAGCAGGGAGGGGCTTCCACCGCTTGGTGGGCGCTGCAGAAATCTCGTACAACTGTTTCATGTGTTTTGGTCTGTAAATCATTAGCTTCTTGTTTCCGTGCCGCAATGCGCTGATCATAGGCAGAAAAAGAGGGCGTATGGTAGATCATCAGGGAATATTTGCTTTCTTATCAAGACCAACAAGGGTACGAGACCACAAGGATACTTCAAATTTTGTGGGTGACAAATTTAATCATCATATGATCGAGGGTAGGAATAGAGTGAATGTATGGTGTGGGAAAGGTAATAACTTACGGGACAATCTCATCCTGCAAGCCACTGATGAAAAGCGTAGGCACCTTTGTGATGTTGGGCAGAACCGACTCACTGGGCCAGACTTGGTGGCATAGCAGGGTAAGGTATTTCGCGGGGGGCACGACGGAAGGGATGAGCTTCCGGATAGAGAGAAAGGTATTCTCGAGGATCAGGCCAGCGATATCACCCGCTTCCTGGTTCTTGGAAACAAGCTTGATGGCAACGGCGCCACCCAGACTCTGCCCGTAAACCATGAGCTTGTGATCGCGTGTCTCGGCCCGCTGCCGCAGGTAGTTAAGACCAGTCTGGGCGTCAATATTTAGACCCGACTCGTCAGGCTGGCCGGTCGAAGAACCGTAGCCTCTATACTCGAGCATGAAGACATTGCATCCAATGTAGTTTATAATCATGCGAGCGATGGGTAACCGATGGCCAATGTTGCCAGCATTACCATGGAACATCAGAATGGTGATGTTTGAGTTCTTGTGGCCGCGAGGGCCACGGATGTAGAAGGCTGAAAGCTTCTCGCCATCGTCGGTCGGTATGTAGAGTTCTTCGAAATTTGAGATGCCAAAGTCGGAGGGTTTGGGGACGTCCGAGCGAGAATTTGCAGGAATGTTACTCGGGTAAATGAGAGCCCTAATGCAGGTGGTTAGCGCGGGTCTCGGCAAGATGATGTTGCGGGTCACTCGAGCAGTAATGGAAAGGAGGCAGGGAGAGGAAGAGGAAGAGGAAGACAGCGACGGAGGAGACTAGAGTGGTATACGGACTTTTGCTTAAAGTATAGTAACGAGGTGAGGACAGCAGCGAGACCCTGTGAAGATGCGCATTGATGTCAGCGTCTGGACTGTGTGTGGTCTTGGCCTCTGCCTTTGCAGTGCATCGTGGAGCGGACAGAGCAGTTTGGGAGTACGTACCGTTGAAGCCAACGCGGGCAGACGCATGTAGCTGGCAATCGAGCTCAAGACCGAGACGGTCTGCTCGACGTAATTGTTGGAGGATTGCGAGGCGGGAGAGTTGGAGCTCGACATGGTTGCTTTTGCCGGTTTGCTCGGCATTACAGCAGCTGATATGTGATGGGTTTCGGTTGTTCGTTCGATCACAGATGCAGGTACAGGTAGGTTAGTGTTAGGCAGTCAAAAAAGTCTACCTCGAACCTACTGAACCTGAACTGGACTGAACTGGACTTTACGGGATAGGGGAGATGGGGCCCCGAAAGTGATTTACAGCGAGCGGAGAATGGAGACAGAAGGGCGGAGCAAGGGGTATGGTCTCTGCGGTGTATATTGTAGCGGTCGGCAGCGTTCCGAAAATACGGTGACTGATCCAGGTAGAGCAGAGCAGAGAAGAGTAAAGCCTCGAGCGGTCGATTTAGGGTTGCAGGCGAGGATATATATCGTTGGCGATATGATGTCGAGATGTACAGTCCGTGTTGTTGTTGGGAAGAGAAAAGAAAAAAAAAAGGCAGTAAAGGACCCGACAGCAATGAGGATCGATAACCGAATTAGGCCTTCACTGCGCTGTCCTATAACAGGCAGCTATTCCGGCTTCCAAATGTAGAAGAGTCCAGATTGAATTGAATCCGAATTGAAGATGCCCCTGGTGATTTCGTCCGGCAGCGATCCCACTTACGGACAGGAGGAGGACATGGGGGTTTCTTTGATGAGGTTATCGAGTGAAGGTTGACGAGATAAGAAGACGCAGATCTGTCTGCGCAAGTAGGTAGGATAGAACGGATGAATTATGATGGGAAAATGTCAATGTTGAAGCACGATGAAACGATGCGCAAGTATTCAAAAAAGGGATATCGATTCCAGTTTGACAGCAGGGATGTGCTGTGATGCGATATGCCTCTGAAGAGCGGGATCTGAGAATGGTAGGTAGGAGTAGAGTTAAAAGGTGTCATGCCACAAAAGGGAAAGAAGGAAAGACCGAAATAGAAAGTCAACTCAGAAAAGTCGGTAAATCATGATTGAACTATCAATTAATCAATCAATCCCTCAGGTCTTGATGATAATAGTAGCAATAGATGGTTAGCACCTCAACAATTACCGTTGAACTGTGTTGCTGCCAGTCATGATCCATGTTCACTACGGATACCTCAAAGATCAATCCTATATCGATAACCTCAGGACAGGACATGGGCGAACGGACGGATCACTATTGGTGGGGCACGGAGCGATCTCAGCTTGATGAGGTGGATAAAAGGTAAAATGAAGAGGATACTCTTCTCATATGTGCAATAGAGGTAACAGTTCGGGCTATTTTGGTGGAGTCTGTACCTGTAGAAGTAGCTCACTTTAGGTACTTGAGTCCCCGTTGGCTCATCCTACCAATGAAGCTGATACACGCGACGAAACACACGGATCAGCAAGACAGCGAACAGTTGGAGTATTATATGTGATAAAAAAAAAAAAAGAGCGCATAAAGCCAATGAACCGGTTGATCAATCATGTCTTTTGCAATGCGGATATTACACCACATGACTGACTTGTGGCTATTTAACGGTGATGATGTAGGTGGAAATGAACAAACATCCTCAACGCAACGACTTATCCAAGTTGGGAAGTATCTACGAAGAAACGAAAGAGCCTAGAGCTTCTCCATAACACGGGCCAAGAATATCGTGATCGGTCCAATTGACAAAGGTCGTTGGACACAATTTGTTGATCCGGGAGCATCTCAAAATATTACAGCCCGGAGTCTGTCTATCTTGTGCATCATCAATTTCCTCGGGGTCAGGTCAATTGACACGAAAGTCCCTGATGGTTCATCAAAGAATGTAAAACTCTGGGGAACTTGACAGGCTATTGGCGAACTGTCAAAAAATGTGACGACTTTTTGGTTCCTGGCTAATGGATCAATCACATCTCTTGACCTGCATAAGACCAACTAGGAAGTCCGCCAGGTCCGGTTCTTCGGGAAACCTTCCTCACCTAGACCTGGAAATTATCAAATAACGACAGAAGGGTGTTGTCGATGAAACGATGTTGCAACAATCAACTCTCGTTTTTCTTCATCTTGCGTGGGGGAAGGGGGTTGTTAGTAAGCTGTTTTCTTTCCGTCTCATCCGTGTCTGACAAGAGGCCGTGAGAGCACAGAAAATGGACTGACTGTCTCTCGGCTTCACGATAGACCAAAGAATGCGGATAGGGAAGTTTATGGAAACCAAGGTGTTCTCGTCTCAGTTCTTTATGGTCTTCCCGCCGAAAGCTGACCTTCTCCATTCCTCAGCTTTCATATAATCGTACGTAGTACTCAAAATGCAGTATGTCCCTTCCCATGTGTGCCATTGCTGATCCAGGGCCATCTCATCCCCTGAGACACGCCTCGTCTTGGCAATCTGCGCCACCGCGCCATGGTTAAGCCTCTTTGTGGGAATAGTAAGCAACTAGATTCATCGAGGAATAGCTTGACGGGCTAGACAGACCACGAGACACTTTTCAGCCCACCTAGAGAGTCAGGTATAATTATGAGGCGGACAGGCGAGAGAAGTTCGAACTGAAGGGACAGACAGCAAGTAGTCGGTCAGTCTTGTCTGATGCACAAACGAAGACTCCGCTGTTAAGCGGATACAATGCCTGGCAGTTTATCTATGCATGTATATAGTTCAGTGGGGGTTAGCTACCGTAACTAGATGACGAGCAGCAGCATCATAACCTCGTGGGTTTAACGAGATGCTTTACAGGTACATACATAGGCGAATCGTATACCAACACACCTATCCATACTCCGTACATACCAGCTAGGAGGATAGTTTTATGCAAGGGGCCATGGCATGCTACTGAACTGAACTCTGTTTTTAGTATCATCACAATCACCATGGAATTTGTATTCTGGTTCGAGGCTGATGAAGCAGACACCAGACAAAGGTACTATTATTGGTTTGCTTTTATGCAGAAAGAGGGCATGGACCGGCGGCTACTCTACCACCATACTTGAGGAGGATTCATAAAGCCAAATACAGTCATAGCACGTCCTGGCTCCCTTTGAACAACGCACGATTTCCGTCAAGGGTGCATAGGCATTAAGGAACATGTCGTCTTTATTCCCTCGAACAGCCTGCAGAGAAGCTTACAAGAAGCTATTCTGAGTGGATTTCTGCTTGAAAGGACCCTTGTTAGCCAGTCCCTTTCCGTTCGGGGATCCATTTAGGCGCCTTTGAGGCCCCTTCTCTGCCTCATCATGCAATACAATTGTACATGGCATTTCTTGGGCAATGCTGCAGACAAATCAGGGCGTTTGACATGGCACGCCAAGAAAGCATGTTAGCAAAAACCACCCTACCACAAGCTCAGGTACAGCGGCGCTATCGAACAACAAGATATGCAATACCATGGCGTATTGCTGATCATTGAATTATTGAACAAGCGTCAAGCCTCTCGTTCTCTCCCCCTCCAAAGGAAATCATTAAGCGCGCCCACAAGCTCTGAACGAGGGGGGAGGACGAGACGCTGTTCCCTTCCGAAACTCGTGTTTATGTACTCCTGACACCCTCGCGAGGGGAGTTCTCTGACAAGTGATTGACAAGCGCGGAGAGTCGCCAATCAAGGTGAATGTGCCCGACTGGGCGGCATTGGGCTTCGCATTGATAAAGTGTCCCTGGTATCTTGACCAATAGAGAAGGTAGTTCAGAGCAGGTTTGGAAGAGGAATGCCGGGCTGGACTAGCGTTCTGATAATAGCATGGGGGATGGGTCCAGGGCGAGCGGCTTCAGAGTTTCTAAGGGTGCATCATAATCATAATCATAATCAACATCGTCGTCATTAGCACATATCAGGGTTTTGTTAATTATGAACCAGACCAGTGTGCTAATGTCATCTTGTTGACAGGCGTCGCTGTAGCAGCGGCCTCACACACACACACACACACATTCAGACACGGACAATGATAGGCTGAGACAAGCCTCAGCTGTCCAACCAAAAGATGCTCGAAGCTTTTTGGCTAGCCCGGGATAAAGTTGGCTCTATTTTCGAGTATTTGTTTCTTGTTGTTTGATCATGGTTGTTTGGGTGTTGATAGTAACGAACCACCAAATATTACTGGACAGTTTGCAGTGAATGGCGTGAGATGGTCTGAACTCTTCTCTCATCTTAATCTAGATTCTCCCTATCGTGATGCATCATCGTCACCACTAACAAAGGTCTCCTGTTTACTGTCGGTCGCTATTCCTGTTCCTATCACTTGCAGTCGTTGCTGCAGGTAGGGCGTTTGTTACAGCGGGTTGGTGCTGTAGTGTCTTCTGTAGCATCCACTTGATCAAGTCAACCGCCCTCTTTTTTCTCGTTTATTTTTTTTTTCTTTCACAACATCCACTTTTTGGACCAACAAGCGTTCTGTCGCAATTCTCTTTTTCTCTCTTCATCAGCGTCGCGCATAGTTACAGTTGATTGTCCTTGTTCTTCAAATAAACTTTCTCTCATCCATCCCTCCATCTCAGTCTTGGAGCCATACTAATTTAAAATTCATCTTTTCATCGATCACACGCCACACCTTCCCGTCCACTACTACCCGCGCCTCCATCAAAACATCACCTACAAGCTGGAGAGTCCGTCGCAGGATTGTTAACTAAAACCGTGCTCTTAGGAACGAACGGACTCAGACTCTCAGACTCCGTCTCAACAGACCCCGGTCTCGTCTCCAGGACCCCTCCACCTGACCTGACTCTGCTATCGTCTGGCCAGGCCTGGCTCTATCTTTGTCCCGCCCGCCCCTCCATCAAATTTCGTGCTGTCGTCAACTCAGTCAACTTTGTTTCCGCCTTTTCCCCCCAGCCTTCACTCGGCCAACGAGACGCATTCCTGTCTCTCTATCTGCGTGGAAATTTTGACTATTTTGCTTGGAGTGCCTCATTTTCATCTCTGAATCACTTGTCAAGCTTATGCTGCCCAAGTCGTGCCCAAACAACAACCCAACGCAACCTTGGACAAGCTAGTCTTTTGCGCCTGTCATATCAGCAACCTTGCCCAGACCACACATAGCTCTGAGAACCAGCACTGCCCCCGGTTTTATTTTTGCTTCAAGTGCCTCAAAATCGTCCTTTGGCCGAATCATTTCGTCCCAAGGCCCTTGCACCCCTCCACTCCCAGCCTTTACTGGAAGCCCAGCAGCCAGCAGTTCTGCAGTCTCTTCAAGACGTTGAATCTGAGCTGCTCCCCCGTTAAATACCGAGGGCCTCTCTGAACCACACCGTTGTGCAGGTTTACTTTTCTTCTCCTCCGTTCAACCCGCCTAACTGATATAACCGTCCGCTTCGACACTCAAGTGTCATTTTAACCCAGCAGCCATGGTTTCCTTTTCCTGTGAGGTACGTTTGTGAATTTTGAATTGCTTTTTGTCTTCTCCAATGTTGGCATGCCATGGTCTGGCGTGCCCTGGTCTCGCAAGCCTCGATTATCCATTCCCTCGGCTCGCATAGTTTATGCTGGCTGGCTGGCTGGTCTGTTCTGGTTTCCAAATCCTCCCGCCGCTCAAGCCATCCTCATATCTTATCCCCTCCGTTTCCATATCTCAAACACGATTGCTTTGCATTACATTGCAATGTAATGCCCACCCTTCAACCCAAACACGAGCCCACCTCAATGCCCACCCCCCAAAACAACACCATACACGCCTGACATCACTCCTACCACACCATTCTTGTCACGAACTGCCTCCTTCAAGGGACACCCCTTCTTCCCCATGCCGATCTCCTGGCCCACCATAAACCGTCCTGCCATGCTCTCGCCTCCCCTGGCATCCCTCAAATATCCCAGTACACCACCCCGCCGCATCGAACGAGTCTCCATTGTCTTGCATCCCACTTATACCCTTCATGCCGTAGTCAACTTCAACAGCTTCCATCTTGTTATACTAACCCAACTTTCCTTCATATAGAACTGCGGCGACGTTCTCACCAAGAAGAAACTCGACCCTCACCGCAATCGTTGTCGCGGCGCTACCTTCACCTGCATTGATTGTATGGTGTATTTCCCTGGCGTTCAGTACCGATCTCATACCGTATGTACTCCCAGGACTGGCTCGAGGGCCATAGCTTCTTCCCTCGACTCATAGCCCCTGACTCTGTGTAATCATCTGACATCATATAGAGTTGCATGACCGAAGACCAAAAGTACCAGGGCGCCCTTTATAAAGACAAGAAGAACAAGAAACAGAAACATTCTCATAACCACGACAACCAGCAACACTACACCCAAGATCAAGCAATGGCAGCCGTTCAAGCCCCCATCAACCACACCGCAACCATGAACCACTATGCCTATGTCGAGGATGCTCCTGAGGATCAGTTCGGCTGGGCCGAGTACGAAGAGAGTAGCGATGATGAGTCTCCCAATGGCCCTCCGCCCGAGGCTCCCACTCCACCTTCCGCTGCCCCCGAACCCCATGTGGACGTCTTTGAGTTCCTCGTTGGAACTGGCCAGACCCCCAACGCCTCCAACATGAACTTGGGAGAACAGGACCTGCCTGATGGTGAGCCAGGAAACTCTCTGGTACGATACGAGCCCAAGGACAAGCAAGACGAATACAGCTTCATGGACGGCGATGAGCCTATTGTCGAATATGGAAGCGGGCCCGTGCCCACCGCCGAATTTGTTACGCCAGCCCCGAAATCTGAGAGACGCAAGAGCCGCAGCAGCACTGAGAAGAAGGACAAGAAGCGCAAGCACCTCCATGTTGATATCCCCAACGACCAGGTCATGACTGATGCCCCTCCGGTTTTACACTCTGGATTGACTGGGGGCATCAACCGTATGATGCGACCTGTGTACCCTCCATCCCCTGACTACTCCGGTGGTGACATGCCCGACGCCTCTCCTACCAGTCCCCTCAAGAAGTCAAAGCACTCCAAACATTCCAAGCACTCCAAGAATGCCTCTGCCAGTCACAGCATCTTTGGTATGATTGCTGGCAGCAAGTCCAAATCCAAGACTAAGACCAAGTCGTCATCATCAAAGTCAAAAAAAAGCTCTTCCTCTTCCAAGAAGGAGAAGAAGGAGAAGAAGCCTCAGCAGCTCATTGAATATCGCCCCCAGAGCAAGGACGGCAACGAACCCAACGAAGGCCAAGTGGTACTTTACAAGCCTCGTGCTGATGTCTTCCTCAGCTTCGTCGACAAGGGCCCTGAAAGCGAGAAGGGTGTCAGCTTGAACCGTGTCCTCAAGCGCTTCCACCGAGAGCGCGAGGCCAACGGCAGCGAGCTGGGCAAGGGCAAGGAAGAGAAGGAGCTTTGGAGATCACTCCGACTCCGACAGAATGACCAAGGCGAGATCGTTCTGTTCTCTGTCGAGTAAGGTCAACCGAGCCTAAGCAAAACTAAACAAAGTAAAAAGGAAAAACAAAACAAAACAAAACCAACCAACCAACCAACCAACAACAGCTGGACATTATGCCTCAGAATGGGACAGACACCGGACATGGGATTAAGGAGTTATGAGTTCGTTGATGCATTGAAGCAACGTTTTTTACGATACCTTTATGGGACAAGCTTTCATTCTGTGTACAAGTTTTTACGGGACAGATGGGATTGAAAGGGTTCAGCTAGCTCGGCAGGTGTGTACCTGGCGGTTGCGAGTGATGGGCCACTGGGTTCGATCGGTAATTGTGTATAAGTATGTATACAAGGGAGTGATTGGGTGGGCGATCCTTTGCTTGATGCAAGGATGGGCCCTTTTTTCTTGGTGTCGAGATTTTTTATTCTTTCTAAGACTATGTTTTGGGAAACCAACTGGTGGATAATGGGCGGTTTGGTGCATGAGGAATTGGATCGGATTGGAAAGGATACCACGGGAGGTTTGGAGCATTTTTATATAGCAGCATCGTCGCTGCTCTGATGATACCCAATGGCGCTGAGCCTAGGTATCTCATTTTCTTATTTGAAGCATCTGGTACTTGGATGTAGTTGAGCATATTAATATCTGTTCATCTGAACTGTGCTGTATATTTTTACAGATGGAATACAAGTCAAAGTAAATTACATCACTCGCAATGGTAGAATATGTTGAGCCATGGCTTCCCGACGACACAATGGACACTCGGGCTTCTCTCTCACCCAATCCCCTATGCACTCCCAGCAAAAGACGTGGCCGCATTGTGTTGCTGAGGGATCTTTCATCTCTTCTAAACAGAGTGTACACTTTCTCTGTTGCCCACCCTTGATGTAGCCCATAGTCTTATCATCAACTAACTGGAGGCGCGGCACGATTGCTGCTGGTGTGTGCGTGGCAGCAAAAATGTCAACCTTGGTTTTGGAGCCTGTTGCGCCTGTGGACAGTAACAAGTTATTGTCTTGGTTGTAAGCACCATCATGATTAAGGGAGATGTCGTCAGACGATCCGAAACCGGCGCGTTCGCGAGCCGCTGATTCGCTGATGGTAGAACGAATATGCGAATAACCCTGAACGACAAGCTGAACCACTAGCAGAACACCAAGTAGCTCGTACCCTGCGCGGTCGGGCGTATCGGGGACGGTGCGCGTAAAGACATAACGCAAAGAAAGGAGTCGCTTAGACAATTGGTAATATGTGCCGCTAAAGTAGAAAAGGGCCAGAACAACTGCTTGGAAGGGAGCGCCTGACGTAAAGGAGCTCAAATGCTGATCCAGGTATGACCATATGCGCGCCTCACGCCCCGTAGCTGACTGGCCATCCCTTTTGCGCAGGGTTTCCAGTCGCCGCTGCAGAAGCTTGCGAACTCGGGCGCGCAGTCCGGGTAGTATGCGGGCAGCGATGTAGGGCAGGAGAATGCTGGCGGCCACGTAACCGGCGCGACGGTCAATGGCGGGCAGTTTTCCGTCGCGCGCATCAATTTGCACAAGATCGCAGTACTCCTCGCCGAGCGTGCGGTTGCCGGGGAGCGTGGTGAGGGCAAAATAGGCGAGGGTTGCGAGAGTCTGGATCTCGGGGGCGCGGGCGTGTGTTAGACGAGCACCACGGAGGCGACGGTGCAGGTCGCTGAGGATCTGGGCGAGGTGGCCGGTGAAGTATGCATCCTTTTGGTGAGAGCGGATGATGTCGGGGGCGGTGGCGAAAGGGTATGGTGATGTTGTTGTGGTTGTCGAGGAGGAGGACATGATGTTTGATTTATTGATCGGCAGAGAGAGCGCGAGGGGATGCGCAATGCCCAGATTGCTGTGGATGGGATGATCGAATGTGGTGTGATATTTTGTGTTGATCGGTAGATTCAGGCAAGTTTAATAAAAAATTAACAAAGATGTAAGATAGATATTTTGGTGATGATGGGAAAGTCGGTTGTTGGCGTTGAAGATTGGACCTCGGTCGGCATCAGTTCAGCCCCAGGTTCAAGCTCAACCTTGACGCGCTAGTCCAAGGCCTTCGGTAAAGCTCCCCGCGTTCTCCGTCTCCATCATTCTCCATGTGAATCTGTCTGATTTCCTTTTTAGGACAAATGTAAACATAGATTCTGAATCTCAAAACTGCACTGATTATCGGACATGAAGAGGTAATTTGGATTAGTCAATAGACGTCACTTTGCATGGTTGTTCTCTTAAAAACCTGAGTTGGGAGAGAACTCGCTCATGCAGGTTGAAAAACTCGATCCTGCATAGTGACATGACATATGGGGGGAAGAAAATGAGGCCAGCATTGAGTACGCCAATCATGTCACTGTACATATATTGTGATCTGGATTGGCTCCTCTATAGGATCATGCAGGTATTTCCGTCGACACTGCATAACGTGCGGATTATATCCTGACCTACCTGTTATGACAGTTGATCTGACTTAACAATAACACAATCTGCCCCCACACTACGGAAACAGTAGGAGGCTTCTATCCATGAGTATCGAAACCCCTTCATAACCGCATAAACAAATCTATCTCTACATATTTCCGTATCTCTGACTACTGAGGGCCCAAAGGCGGCTGGTTGAAATCAAATGGTGCCATGATCCCTTGTTCAGAGCCTTGAAGCTGCATACTCAAAAACTCATCCGTCACAAGAGTACCCAGCTCCTCGCCCCATTGAGCCATGAGTTCTGCCGTGACATTATGACTTAGTTCCAGTCCATTCATGAGATCGGGTCCAATGAGGGGATCCTCGGGAGGCATCACGACCTGTGCGTTACGTGCCCGTACAACGTAGTCTTTGATCTCGCCCATGCATGGCCAGGTATGCTGGACTTCCTCCATTGCGTCGATCACAGTGGAGAGGGATCGCGCAATATCCGAGTCTTCCCATGATGCGCCCTGGAAGAATCTCTTCATCATAATGGTACCTGCTGCGGTGGAAAGGGTCTGTACAAAGTCGAGTGGTAGTGAGCGGTAGCGATAATGTCGTGAGTATGTCCTCATTAGACGGAGGATAGCCTGCAGTGACTCGTAGCAGATCTCTACGTCTTCACTCTCGGCAATACCTTGCTTTTCGTATAGATGAGAAGGTGGTCGGTGCAGGATGATCATAATTGTGTGGAACAACATGCTGTGGTTTGTTAGCAATAGGGGTAGATTTTCCGAGTACAACAAGACTTACTGCATACGGAGCACAGATGGTTGGACTATACCTACAGTCCATTGGTTCCAGTGAAGTGTTCCTGGTAGGCTTGAGAGCCATTTTGTGAGGGACACGTGTATCTGTCGCGATCTGGTAGCAGCGACTGTCGCATCCACGTTACCTCGACGGTTCTCAAAGAGATCCGTGATCATCAGATGGGCGATCTTGCATAACTCTGCCTGGTAGATGAAGGAACCAACGAGAGCCACTCCATCTTCAAATTCTGTTGCAGAAGCCCCTTTACAGATATACGTGTCGAGCAAGCCCTCCCAGTCTGGAGGATACTGTAATCTTATTGTGTTACGCACATCTGACTCGCTGGGGTGCAGAGCTGGCGGCCTTCCAAAGTAGAGGCTCAGTTGCTTATCGGCGATGAAGATGGCCCAGTAGACTCGCCTCAGGATTTCCGTGTCGCGGTTTGAAGTTCCCTCGCTTGAGGCATCCCAGTTGTTGGGGTCGAGGTGAAGACCCATCTCGTGCGCAAGACGAAAGGCCATACCAGCGAAAAGCCAACCCTTTGAAGTGTGACCTACGCCAATCTCTCGATATCCCAATAGAGCTAGTGCTTGAAGGGTGGTGAGCTCTGGGCTATCGAGGGCTGCGTAGATGAGTTGCTGTGCCTGGTGAGCGAAGATGTCGGAGACTGAGCGGAAGTCGTCGAGCTGCATGGCACCCAGAGAACAAATGGCAAATAGCAGTGCATCTGAGTAGTATCTTCCTGAACCCACGTCGTAGTCTCTCAGGAAGTATTCTCGGTAGATGAGCATGTGGAACTGATATTGGTACTGGAAATAGGCGGCCATGCACGTCTGCGACGTCTCATCGTGCGGTGCGTATACAAAGTTTGCATCGCTCGGGCTGCTGTTGGTGATTGTCTCCGGTATGCCTCCCATTGTAGAGTTGGATTCAATAGGAGAGCTCATGTCATCTGGTGATAGCGAGACATCTTGGGAGAGGTGGATGTGAAAAGCGCTGGTGCCCCCGAAGAATTGTGTGGCGTGGCTTGACCGAGGTCTCCTCAACTGTCCAGAACGTACCTGCGCAGCCACTACCTTTGGATCGGTGTTGGATTTTGCATGATCTGTTGTTGACTTTTGTGACATGTCTAGTGAAGCTGGTGGTGAGAGGGCGATCTCGGATAGCATTTCGTCCCTCTCTGCACTATCAGCAACGGCAAGCTTACGGATGAGTAGCTCAAGAGACGCCACTTGGCCCTCCAGAGCTTGAACGTAGCCTTTTGATATAGGTCTGTATGGGATGATTAGTGGGAGGTTCTGGCAAGGCGTATGTAGAGTCATACCGCTGCTTCTCCCCACTGCCGTTGAGGATACATTCTGTGCCAGCCTTGACGCAGCGTGAACATGGGCGTTTCCGATCACATTTTATCTAATAGATAGTCAGAGGGACATATGAAGGTCAAAGATGTAGATGTGTACCTTGCGGCGGCGACATCGCTCACAGCTATATTGATGGTTTGAATTAGCAGATGAAAGTGGATGAGGGGAATACAACACTAACGATATCTTGATGGACTCGCCCATTGGGGTTTCCTCCATGATGAGAGATATGGAGAGTCTTTGTTATATGATTTCAAGCTTGTGTATTCTTCTCTAGTGTCGAGAAGCAATCACTCCATTGGGAAGTAAACAGTGGTTTGGTTGGTGATGGAAATGGTTCGTTACGATGCCAAGAATAGTAAGCCCCTGTGTTGGCGACCTTTCCAGTGCTGTGCTTGTCACTTGACCGTCCATGCCAGACCTCACAAAACAACGACTTATGACATGGGCGTATTCATTTATGTATCTCATATGTTGGAAAATAAGTCATCCATCAAACGGAAAGAAAACTATAAAATCTGGGCAATCCCAAAACATGGTTAACAAATTGTTGATTCCAACTAACGTTCCGTGTCAAGTTGTTTAGGGTAGGCTCAGTTGCTGCAAGGGCTTCGCTTCGCATGCCATGATATATGATTACCATTGGGTGGTCTTTGAGGCACAGTTTAAGGTGTTGCTCATCACATGTCTACAACCACTGGTATACTCGGCCATTACCTACCTACCGATTTAATTTCCGGTGTTCCGTCTTACTGCAGCACGTATAGATAGGAGCCTGCTCAACAACAACAACATCATCACGTCACGATACATGTCGCTTATTCAATGTTGTTTCGATAAGTCACAGCAGCCAAAATGAGATGCAAAAAGCAAGTTCCTCAGTCATTGATGGTAACAGCACGGACGATCAAGAGAAACATAGCATTGAATCTGTGCTCAAGTGTCGATCCACAATAGATTGAACAAACTAGGCATGTCCGAAGAGAGACACCAGTACGTCTGATGACAGCTTCCTTTAATGTTGCCTTGGGGTGGGCGGGAAAGCTGCGGCCATGAGCGATTAGGAATTTTTGAGTGACAACATCGACAGAGCTGAAAGTGCAGTGAGTCTTGGCGTTTAAGGTAGGGGTTATAGATTGAAGATTGGGGGTTTGAAATGGGGGTTTTGAGGGATATGAATCTTTGGCCCATGTCTTTGATTTGTTAGTCAGTCCTATCCTATATTATGTAATGCTACATCAAGTCAGATAGATAGAGAGAGTGTTGTATCAACATCATTCCTCATAGATGAGTTTTATTTTAGGAAATGGCCGAAAGATTAGACTCTGTTTTATAAGACCATCTTCAAAAGACTAAGCCTAACCAAGAGAGTAGTATTCTGCCCTACGCCGCAATCTGCAACATAGCCCGGCGACTGTGACTCTCCTTTCGCATGACCTGAGAATGAATCCTTGTTCGTGACTTAAAGGGTCCAGCCAGGCCTTTTTGATGAACTGGACTTGAGGTTGGTGGGTTCCTACAGTAGCGTTGAGTTTTGACCAATCATCTTTGTCGTGCTGCTTATCTCCCCTGTTCCTGCACCTGTGGCTCAGTGGCTGCATCGCTAATGCTAGCGGTAACGGTTACCCGAATGCTCGAGCATCTACAGTTGCAATCGCTAAATCAACCTCTTCTTCTCTCTATTCAAGTCTTTGTATCATTGAAACTCACCATTGCTTACTCTCAGGGCGGCTTGAGCTAATTAACAAAGTATTATAACGATACATTCACCCTTTTCTTGGCTGCAGTTCCCACTCTACTACTTATCAGCTCGCCCTAACCGCCCGCGAACTCCCTTGTGCCTGTAGCTCTTCATGCACGGGTGTGGCGGCCGACTAGGAATCTTGGAACCTAAAAACCAAATCCGTTTAAACGAGTGGAATAAAAAAATACGAACAAGGGTATTTTGATGTGAGAACTAACAGCTGGTTCCTTCAACCATGACCAACAAGGCATGACACGATAACCCCCGGGCAGGGCAGAAAGTCTTGGTATCTCTACTGCATTGAATCGCAGATGTAAATATGGGTAATCCATTAAGTATTGTCAGCTTTCAGCTATTAAACCCACAGATCCCCTGCTCTGTTTTTCTTTGCTCGGGTTCCGTTCGTTCCATGCTCAAGAGTTTTAATTCTTGGCTACCCCATCGTTTTAACCTGACACGTCCAGCGTTTAACCACGGTTGATATTTCTGTGAATATTTATATATTATATCCGACTCTCAGAGACGCTCATCCGTCTCTCTCAAGACCCGTTCCTCAGAGATATAATGACGGCCGCTCCAAAAAGACAGGATCCCAACTCTGAAGAAGACTCTGTTCATATTCCCAACGAAACGGCAGCGCCGACGAAAAAGCCCAGCCGGAAAAAATGGTTCATAATTGGTGGCATCGTGGTTCTTATTGTCTTGGTGTTGAGTTTAACGTTGGGACTGTACTACGGACTTAAGAAGAAGGTGAGCTCTTTTTTAATTTGTATCACAAGTAATCTGCCTACCTATTATTCTTGGTCGAGTCTTTCATCTGGAACACGACTAAAGTGTATTTTCTCAAAGGAGCACGGCGTCGTTAATGATAGTGCTGCCAAATATAACGCCGATCGCCCACAACCTAGCGATGTTCCAGACAAAAGCTCGAATGACAGTGACGATCATGATAATGATGATGATGATGATGATGATGACGATAATAACAATAACAAGGGCAAAGGCGAGAGCGCCAGCTCCAGCGAAGAAACGAAAAAGAAAGAAGGACCCTTTGTTGACTTGGGTTACTCTCAATACGAGGGCAATGTCCTCTCCAGCGATATCTACGAGTATCTAGGCATACGCTATGCTAAAGCCCCTTCTGATGACCTGCGATGGAGAGCGCCAGTCGAGCCAGACTCTACAACTGAAGTCTTGAAAGCTCAAAAGGTATACACCCTCACAATCCTTATACGAACAACCTGCTTATGCTTTTCTTCTCACAGTATGCCCCTTTCTGTCCGGGAGTCAACGACCGTCTTGGATCAACTATCGACGAAGACTGTCTCTTCGTCAATGTCTGGGCCCCAGCAAACGCAACATCGGACTCAAAACTCCCCGTCATGGTCTTTTTCCAATCCGGCGGCTACATCAGAAATGCATCCCCCTATATTAACGGCAGCGGACTCATCACTGCTTCCAACAACAGCATCATCTATGTCAACTTCAATTACCGCGTTGGTCTATTCGGTTTCTTGGCTGGCAAGGAGATCAAAGAAGATGGTGATTTGAACGCCGGCCTGCTGGACCAGAGGTTTCTTCTGAAATGGGTCCAGGAGCATATCGAAGAATTCGGTGGCGACCCCGAGCATGTCATTATTCATGGCCAATCCGCTGGAGCTGGATCGGTGGCGCTTCAACTCGTCGCATACGGTGGTAAAGATGAGGGCCTCTTTGCGGGTGCCATTGCTGAGTCGGTTTTCATGCCTGGTCTCCCAGAACCCGACGATATACAGTACCAATTCGATCGAGTCGTCAACGCAACAGAGTGCTCCGAAGAGGATGACACGTTAGCGTGCCTCCGGGGGATGGATTCATCAGTTCTGCAAGCTCAAAACATCAAGGCTCCTTTCGACGGACGAGACTATCGCTCCTACTTCTACTGGGCTCCCACTACTGATGGCGATATGTTCCCAGACTTTCCCTCTGAGCTCTACAAGAAGGGTGACTTTGCCAAGGTGCCACTGCTGACTGGATCTTGTACCAACGGTAAGTTTTCAATACGCAATCCCTTTTCTCCATCACAAAATACTAACTCAATATCCAGAGGGGTCCAACTATGCCGTCAACGCAGGCAGCTCAGCCCAATTCATCCGCTACATGCAAAACGAATACCCCTATCTCACAACCGAAGATACCGAAACCATCCTGGAGCTTTACCCCAAGGAATCCGCACTCCCAAAGCACGACATCTGGTTCCCTTCAGCCTCCCGCGCTTATGCTGAAGTCACCTTTGTCTGCCCTACCAACAACATGCTTGACGCCTACGCTCAACATGCCGACCCCAAGACTCTATGGTCTTATCGCTATAACGTCCAGATCACAGAGTTCATCGAGGATGGCCTTGGCGTTCCTCATGTTGCAAACGCACCCGCAGTCTTTGGCCCCGACTACACTGCTGCCAAGGCCGGACCTAGCTATCGCACTTACAACGCGCCCATGATACCTGTCGTGCAGAGTTACTGGATCAGCTTTGTCCGCAACCTCGACCCCAACAAGGATCGTTACGAAGGAACCCCCCAGTGGGAGACCTGGGGAGACGATCAGCATCGCCTGGTTTTCGAACTGAACAACAACACCATGGAGAGTGTTGACCAGGGTCAGAAGGATCGTTGCCAGGCTTGGCTCGACATGAGCGATTCCACCAAGCAATAATGATGATGTTTACGACTCACAAGCGTTCGCACGGTAATCTGATTGATATCCGTAGTAGATAGACAGCAAACATAATACAAGCATGCTTGAATTTATTCTATATTGTTTTCTCGCCATGAAAACCCAGACGCCAACTTCGATTCTACATCTCACTCGCAGCACCACCCATGTTTAAAGCTACCCAATGGAAAGCACAATTCCATTGAATTGGACGCCAAGTAGCAAGCATACGTTGCGGCCCTCCACCAGTCCAAAACGTTGTTCTGGTGCCATCCACCGTTTGCATAGAGAAGCCTCGCCTATCTCTGGACGACTAGTATCATTACTATGCTATATTCCCTCTATCGACTATTGCCGTCGATTATGGGCTCTCCTCATCAAAATTTGTACTGTCCGCTTTAGCTCTAACACCCAGCGCTTCACTCGCAGCGTCTTGTTTCTTAGTCGTTGTGACAGCATCACAGTAATTTGGCTAGGCGCCAAGGTAGATTTGTCTGAATCAGAAACAATGTCGCAACCCAATGTTGCCAGATTGATTTCATGAATATTGGACGGAGCCCATAGTTGCATCCCTTCTACCTTCGTCGCTCTATTTGACTGAAGACCAGGCGTCTTGTACCTCAAGGGTCTCAGGCTGGGTCTGTTGACGAAGTTCTGTTGCTGTCGGTCGGGTGGATCTGGACTACTCTCTCGATTTGATCGAGGCACTAATTCAGCTACTATTATTTCTTCTGCTGGGGATGGATAAGAAATGTCGAATTGGTCAGATATCTGTGGTGAACGCCCTCGTGCGGTACCCTCGTCAATATTAGAAAGTCGTTTGTCGGAATTGATCTGAACCAACTGTTCCTCAAGTGCTTCCCCAAAACTTGACCCGTCCGACGAGGCTTCTCGCCGAGGAACATTTCCCAACTCTAGGAATGACTTGTGTTGTCGAAGACCCTCATTGTGTACATGAGTATCACGGGGGCTCATCAACTTACTGCTCACGCGGTTTCGAGATACCTTGAGCCTGAGTCTGGGCTTGACAGGACTACTGGAGCTTCTTCCCGGCACTTTGGGAGAATCCGCGATCCATTTGCTGTGAAGCCCAGTTGACTGAGACGACTTCACGCGAACTTTAAATCGCGATTGGTTCATTTGAGGCTGACTCTGTATCCACTGATGAGACGGGGTCCTCAAGTCCTTGCCGCCGAACACAGGCTCTAAGGACGTCTTGCCGGTACCACTTCCTGGCCGAACAGCAATAGAGGTATCGATAGGGCTGCCGGCGAACGAAATCCTCGTGTGGTCTTTGGTATATTCATATGAGGCTGCACATGGATTTTGGCTGTTACATTGCTTCTCATGAGGCAATGGTGGTAAGGGCTTCATCAGTTGTGTTATATTGTTCGATAGTCTCAGCTGATGTGTAGGTGAGATGGGGTTGGGCGACAGAATCGTTGCATGCGCGTTTGATTCCTGCACATTCTTCTCGTCTGTAACCTGTTTGTTTGTGTGACCTTCGTCTCCAATAGTTGTGTTAGCGTTGAGACAATGGTGTTCCTGACAAGAAGGCAGCTTTATAACTGCATCATTCTCATTCGTCTGTGGCCTCCGTTCATGGAGGCATGGACCAGTCGCCTTGGAGGGAAGACAAGAAACACCCCGAACAATTGGGCTATCCTTAATGGCTGCATCACCTTCTGGTTTATCCCATACCCAGTCATCGTCACTCGAGTCACTAGATTGAACAGCTGACACACGTTCCGCTGGAGTCGAAGTTACAATATCACGAGAACCCATCTGATTTTGCTAAAAGTACCTGGGTTCCAGTTGATTTATTACTGGCTGCGTTTGTACCGGCGGCGTAAACGATAGGTAGCTTCTTTTCGTTGGTATTGAGATATTCTGATTATTCGTGCCATAGTTGAGTTCGCCAATGAGTCGCCGGTGAATGCTGGATATAGACAGGGCTGACTTGATCCCATTGCTTTTACGCCCGGGAGTGTCGATTTCCCCGCTTGCATCCTGCACAGCATTCCCGGGTGAAATGTTCTTGAAGTTTCCGCCAGGAGAACAAACTGGCGACTCATTTGACAGTTTGTCCGGGAATTCCTCATCGCGTTCTTCGGTGTAGTCGTAGTAAACGGAGTAGGGAGAACGGATGGGTTGGGTAGAGCCATCCGGTGATCTGCACTGGTACATTTCTACGACAGAAGTCGGGCTAGCCGAGCGAATACTCTGGTCTCCTGCCACGAACTGGCTATATGGAGATTTGGGATACACCTGTATCAGGCCCTCTGAAGAGTCTAATACCGATTCGTAATAATGTGCTGATGATGTGCGTATAGGTAGCGAAGACGTCGAACGACTGCACTCTGGTCTCAGAGACAAAGGGGGGTATTGGCGATACCTGAGACAGCCTCTCGTCATGTATGACCCAGAAGTTGTGCGCTGCAAAAGAGAAGTTAGACCTCGTTGAAAGAGAGAAAGGAAAAACTAAGAGACTGACGTGCGCGGACCTGTCAATCTCAACCATTTCTCTGTAACCAACGAGGCCGTTATCTGCCACTGCTGGCGAAGAAGGCCGAATCCCAGGCCGCTTCAGACGCGCTGGATATGGAAACGGTGAGCGAGGACGTTGAAGCCCACTATTGCTTTGTTGACTGCTGAATATCCCTGAAGATTTGTAGGAAGGCACTCGCCTTGAACTACAAGTTGTTAGGGAGTGCGAACGCTGATCCTCCGAAGTTGGAGAGTAGGACCTGGAACAAGGGGTTCGAGAACCGCCGTATAGAGACAGAATTTCGGACGTAGGGTCTCGATATGAGGGTAGCAGTTTGCGATCGTCCCTTGTTGCACCGTACTTGGGGCCATCTTGTCGAGACCTAGACTGTCGTTTCTTGTCCCCGTGGCTGTCTCTTGAGCGAGGTTGGTGATGACGTGTGCCCAAAGACGGCAGGTTGATGGAATAAATACCCAGGTCGCCCGTCTCTGTAGTTGTTTTGAGCATACTCTCGAGAGGCCCAGGAGGGCGGAGAAGGACAGAAGTCTCGTTCAAGCTCTGGAAGGGCAACCGCGGCTGAGATGGAGATCGTTGCCTTGGAGGGTTGGAAGTGCTTTCATGAGTGCGATGGGTGCTCTGAAGCGAAGATTGGTTAACTGATCTGTGTCCGGGGCTTTTCAAAGCCATAACCACTGATTAACAACTTGATTGATACTGGAGATGGGAATAGTGAGATAGCACAATGAATGTCTGGATTGGATCGAGGGACCAAGAAGACCAAGAAAGCTGGTGTAGGCTACTGCAACCCGTAATGATAGAAATCACAAGCTGCTGGTGGAAGCATTATCAACTGGCTGTGTTGGTGGACGAGGAACCGTGAGCTGAGATCATTTTGTAAAACAGGGAAGGAAAGCATAAAGAATCCATGGCAAGAGGAGGGAGGAGATACACGGTCTGGTCTTTCCTTGGGATTCATCTTGAACCCAAGAAGCCTTCCTGTTTGGTGTTTGATGTCTGTGAATTGCTCTTACTTTTTTTCCTTGTACATATGACTCAGTGATTCAGTGACGAGGAAGGATCTCAAGTGGCAAGGCTAACTCAGTCCTTCTACTCGAACTTCTAGACTTCTCAATAAGTTCTACTAATAACCGCATTAAAAACTACCTGGGTACTAAAAATAATGCAGCTGCCTTATTGAGTAGTTTACCGACCGTTGGTTAGATTTGCTATTTGATCTTCCATGTCTCAGACACGGGTTTAATGTCCTTTTTACAAAACCCTTGCTCGGTCTACTACAGAATGAAGAGATATTGCGTTCATGTTGGTAAATAACACCTACCATATTTTAATGTGTTTTAATCTGGTTGAGACGGAACAAGACATTGCACGTGAAGATAGTTGCTTTAGCGTCGGACGAAGCCATCACCAATTCTTTTGAACGAGATAAAGACCCACCTTATCCAGGGGCCGAATTTCGTGACGGCGCAAAGATCGACAAGATTCTTACCATTCATGTAGATCAACAGAATTTCGAGGCTGGCCATATTGTGTGCAGTGCTGTACAAGATACCCTCTATACATTGATCAGAATGGTCAACATAAACTTTTGGCTGGGTATGAATTAAGAACACGCAAACTCATTGAAAAGCACTAATCAACGTGAGTGGCGTCATATTGCTTTGTAAATAGTATCATTGGGTGTTAAGATTTATGCCACCACATATTGACACGAATCGGTGCGTCTTCCTCGTGCATAGTTAGTTTACTTTTTGTGAACAAAGCCCGTTGCCACTTCACTGTGTCTGTGCGATAAACCAATACATCCCTTTCATTTCACCGCTGATAAGGGCTTATGTATGTGCATTGCGAGTCCTGTACTATGACTGAAGATATGCGACGAGTTTCTATTAATGTCATATAGTCATGCATGTTTTTACCTTGGAGATTAAACTATAAATTAAAGCATAAACGCGAGATAGGTCAATTACATTCTTCCGAGTCATCTCCGTCGTAACTGGCCTCGTGACATGAGCAAGGTCCAGGCTTCATTTCTGTCGTTGGCCTTGTAAACAATCGTCGTGGTTGTGTAGCGTGACTCATTACTACACTGCATGTCGGACATCCAGAACCCCAACTGTTTGTTAATCCCCTTGGCAAGGGCCCTTGACCGGAACTGCGAGGACGGGACCGGAACCCCGTACCGAAAACGGGCTGCCGCATAGAGTCTAAGCCAATACATCTGACTCGGCAACAGGGTTAAATTAGCACAACATGGGGCCAGTGGCTCTTCTCGAAGTCCTTCCCACCAAAAGCGTCAACTCGATGCCCAGATGTGGCTTACCCTGGGCCACCCTTTGAGGTTTTCCCTTCTGTGGATGAGTCTAGCCTGCAAATCCTGGCAATGTCTGGCTCCCAACTGGCCACCGTACCACCCCGCAGTCCGTAGAACCCACTTGGTAAGTCCCAAGATTGCTTGTCCAAGTCTAGTCAGGGGTCTATATCGCACACTTGCAGCGCCATCTCTTGTTCAACCTTGAACTAGGCTCGGAGGCACATGGTCAACGGGTCTCTGGATTTAAACAAAAGGGAACCCTTACCCTCTCGCCTGACTAGAAAGTAAAAGTCAACAAACCATCAACTGTAAACAGGTAGCTTCCCTTAGCTTCCTGCTTGGATAGTTCACATTCCTTTGATCTTATCCTTGCACTTCAAATCATACTGGTTTAACAGTGTCTCAAACTCAATCAACATTTTTGACCCGAAATCAACGACACTCTCAAAGCTGAAACCAGGTTGTCTTGCCCCCAATGACAGACCGAAGGCCCGCCCTCACGCTCCCGCTCCCAGACCGGGAGCAAAATGACTTTCAACGACCTCAGTCTTCTCTCCAAACCCCACCAATACGCAGCCCCCGATTCCGTGAAGACTTCGATGCACCGTTCTCAGTGGATATCATGAACGCTTCGAGAACGACTCTTGCAACCGATACCATGAGCTATCCTTCAACTGGCACAAACAGTCGCAATAGTTTTGGGTACGACGAAGCACCACCCCAGTATCTTCGAAATTCGTCTTGGGAATCAGAGACCAAGCGTCGTTCAAAAGTCAACGATCGTATCCTGGAATGGGCCAAGAAGTCGTGGGGCGCCGTCCGAACTCGCTCCGACTCCAAGGTTGATTACTTCGACAGCCATTCGGCACAAAGTCCAACCAGCGATATTATGTCGCCTTCATCAGAAAACATCACCCCATCAGAGCCTGATAGTTCACAAGCAGCCAACGATTACACTCGAGCTGTTGTTACTATCACTGGAATGGCCAGCTCAAAGGCAGGATCGAAGTGATGGATGGAATTAAACACCGGGTCCCCAATCTTAATTGTTAATGACGTGGGATTCCGTTAGTAACGAATAATGTCGGCGTTGGGAGGCACTTTTTTTCTGTTTGGCCCCATGACATGATCGATGGCAAGGCCAGGCGGCTTCTATTTTTAGGATTGACGAGGAAACCAGACCTCGATAGGAGGTATATCCTCAGAACACACCGCCTCCAATAATAAAAAGGCGTTCTTCTTCCCTCTTTGCCCATTGAATGATCTTGTTTGCTCCCTGTGTTATGGTTGCTCTCGACACGTTAGGCCCTGCTACACAGTAAAACTCGAAAACAGGCGTAGTCCATGCCAGCGAAGTCGCATCATCCCCAACTGCATGCAACACTTTAAGGTGCGAGTGTTTGGCGTGAATTGATGCATGTAGCTCATGGTAAGTCGTCATTAATCTCCTGCGGGCAACAAGGCCAGTGAAATGTGGCTCCAATGATGCCATACAGAACTGCACGTTGGCCCGGGATTTGTAGAGAAAATGACTAACCTGGCTACCAGGGGCCATCTCATGAATCTTAGGCCGGCCGGCGCGAGTGGCGTTTTGAATGATAGCCAATGTTCCATTTTTAGCAAGCTGCTGAGCAACGTTGTCGCGCATTTGCTTCAGCTCGAAGAAGCTCTCACGATCGGTGCTTACGAGGATCATCGCGATTTCGTCGTCCGACGACCGTCCCTGGGCTGCAGCAGGAGAGCTGGCTTGCTCACCAGAAGTACCGTCGAAGAAACTGACGTACATATAGAGATAGCCTTTGTTGTTGAAGGCGGGAAGACAAATAGGAATCCAGTTCTCGCCGCCACCGCCTTTGATGCCGTCACTTTCAAAGAGCATGTTAAAAATGAGTTGCAAATCGCTGGGATGAAGTGAATGACGACGAGGTCGAATGACGCTGACAAGCTTCCCCCCAGCCACTATAAGGCCGTATAACAACTTTTCAGTTCGTAATTTGAGAAAAGTGTTATTTATAGTATGCCGTTGGGACTTTCGAAGTCGAAGACACTCCAGGGAACCAAGAAGAGCCGAAGATGAGCCTTTTGTGAACGTATCAGCCAGGGACGACAGAAGACCTTCAGTTCCTTCGAGGGGCTTCCTCAAATCTGTCGAAGGTCTGTTGGCAAATATGTGAGTTAGTCTGGGTAGCGTCAATGTTGACAGGATTTGCATATATAGCGCATCTAGCTGTGCCTGTATTTGCGAATCACTTTCACCCAGTTTGCTGATGGCAACAAAGTAGAGCGGGCCTTTAGTCAAGATAACAAAGCGGGTGTCTCCTGCAGAAAAGCCTTGAAGAGGGTTTTTGGCGCCTTCGTAGAATGAGATAATGGTTTGGACAACACCCATGGAGGAATTGATTAGACCCAAATCTCCATATCGGCTCCAGATGGGCTTTCCGGCCGATGATAGGATCAAATAGTGCTTTAGCTTTGACTTCCAGAGGTGCAAAACGTCTTCCTCGGCATCTTCATCGTATTCCTCTGGGAGAGGATCAAATTCGCGATGAAATTCAACAAACCGGTCGTCTGCGCCTATCCTGCCTTTCTCAAAGGGAAGAACGGATGCTGATTGAGTGCGCAGCATCTTCCAAGCAGGGCTTTTTTTATGCAACTCGCCAGCAAGCAAACTTGCAATATCTCCAGCAGGTCGCATCGTTGGTGCAAAACTCATTAGGCTTGCTGTTTCGTCCGCCTCGGCGCTAGCACTACTATCATGTCGATTGGGAGAAGCACCACCACTCTCAGCGGGGCTCGGGAGAGAGTCGGGGCCAGGAGTCGAAAATGTCCCTCGTGATCCATCAGGAAAGGACAATGTTTGTATTTCAACCGGAGTTATTGCTGTCGTCGCTTGGCCTTGCAAAGACCCTGAATCGGTAGCATTCGTAGATGGCCGAGGTGGTAGAGGAGGTCGATAATCTTCGTCCGCGGGAGACACAGGCTTTGAGTTTATCCTGTCAGAGTCCATGATTGCGTGTAGCTCGCTTGTCGCATTTCTTGTAAAATCAGCCGGTTGAAGAGAGGAAACTCAGAAGATTTTCTACACCCAGAATCGTACGACCTGGAAATCTTCTGTAGGCATTGGTCGAGGCCATTATACCATCTTGGATGAAGCTGATGGTTAGCAAGAAGTGATGATAGCCAGGAGAAAAGAGGAGCGAGGAATGACGCGCTGGAGGGGCGGTGGCAGCCTTGCGCTAAGGGGTTCAAGGCTTGGAAGCTTGGGCCAATCAAAGTTTTGAAACAATACACAGCTCCGCTGTTCTTCAGGGTGTTTCAGTGGGTGCAGCTTGAAGCTACATGTATGCTCCACGTAGCCTTCCATTACATCAATGTGCTTTGCCTGTGATTACGACTATTCGTACTTGAGCTGTCAGAAGCACTATCACGCTCTTTGCTCCCCCAGCGATGCCTTTTGGTGCTGTCGCATTACTGAAAGTAACCTGATGTCCTTCGTTTCGTCGTCAACCGTAATATTCAGTAGCCATGGCTCTTGAGCCCGGATCCGGTCGTCGCTCAGTGTCTCCAGAGAGCTCAGGTCGAGACTCCCCCATTCCACGGCAATGGAGGAATCAACTCGGTGAAGGTATGCATGCGCTTCTATTCTTGTAGATAATTGTTCCAATTTCTGACTTACAGTGTAGAGGATTATGCTATCAAGGATAAATCCTATCGCAAATATGCCCACGGAGTTGACAGAGCACTTGTATTATTCGAAACTGCTCTAGAAGAATGGGCTGACTACATATCGTTTCTAAACAAGCTTCTCAAAGTATGTTGCCCAAATTCTACCGGCTCCATGACGGTCAACTAACCGGTCCAAGGCTTTGCAAGCTCGTCCAAAATCAGTCAATACGATTCCATCCAAGGCGACTGTTGCGAAACGACTTTCTCAATGTCTCAACCCTTCTTTGCCATCCGGCGTCCATCAAAAAGCTTTGGAATTGTATAATCTGGTATTCTCAGTCATTGGGAAAGATGGTCTATCAAGAGATCTTCCGCTCTATCTGCCAGGACTAGCTACAGTCCTCTCCTTCGCTTCGTTGTCTGTACGAGCACCATATCTCGACCTCCTCGAACGGCACTTCCTCGGTATCGACCCTCGATCACTCCGCCCAGCAATGAAATCCATGATTCTAGCCCTGCTTCCTGGTTTAGAAGAAGAGACAAGTGAGGATTTCGAACGTACGCTGCGCCTAGTCGAGAGCTTCAAGCATGCCATTAGGCCGTCATACAGCGAAGTGATCACTGAACAACATTCTTCGGGCGATACTTTCTTCTGGCAATGCTTCTTTCTAGCTTCGATCACCAGCCAAAGCCGTCGTTCTGGTGCACTCGCATACTTGATACGATTCTTGCCACCTTTAGGGCCACAAGCTGCCCCTGAGGACAAGAATCCAGCGACAACACAAAGCAACACCAACGAGGACACTCAGAGCAAACTTGCCACCGTCGTCACGTCTCCAGAGCCTGGCCTATTGCTGCGGTGTTTTGCAAGTGGCCTCTCGGATGAGCAGTTACTAATTCAGCGTGGCTTCTTGGACTTGTTGGTTTCTCATCTCCCCCTGAACGCTCATGTCATCCAATCGCGGGTCAAACCAGATGATCTGGAATTGCTTCTCAAAGCCGCTGTTGGTGTAGTCACTCGACGTGAAATGAGCTTGAACAGACGCTTATGGGCGTGGCTGCTAGGGCCCGAACCGATAACTGAACATGATCACAGTGGCGAGACTCCAAGCAGTCCTCCTGCAGATCAACACAGCTTTGCAGCCTCAAGAACTCATTATTTTGAGGACTTTGGACTACACCCCTTAACAAAGGCCATACTGCAAATGATAAAGAGCAGCTCTCATAATGCTGCCAGTGAACGTGCCAAGCCTTATAGAATATGTCTCTCGTTGATGGATAGGTGGGAAATTGGCGGCTTAGTTGTACCTGAAGTCTTTCTTCCTATGATCGAGAGCGTGCGACACTTCAAAGACCATGCCGCAAGCAAATCAGAGTTCAACGAAATCTTGCCAAGCGCCAGTACTTTCTTTGATGGCATTGAGAGCGGGCTCATCTATGGTGAAATCGCCGGGCTTCTTGCACAGGCTCTGGGCCCAGGATCCCTGAGCGCACATGAGCGGAAAGACAAGCTTTCGCTAGTCAGCTTCATCTTGACAAATTTCAACGTTCGAGAGGAAGAAATGGTCACTATTCATGCTCCTCTATGCTGTTTGACCGCTCTAGCCATGCTAGAAGACTTCAAAGAGCGTATATTAACCCACGGCAGCACAGATCCGCAACTGCTCTCTCTGTCCAGCCAGGCCCAGAGCGTTGCTCTCTCGCTTTTGGACCTTATACCAGAAAGAGTGTTTCCTGAAATCACAGAAGACCTGAAGAATGAGAGGAGCAACTCGGTCCTGCCCTCTAATGGCGAGATATTGAAAAAGTCGCAGAACTTTTACGTCAATGAGCAGGGTAATATCGAGGCATCTCCACCACCATTCAATGCCTTGACCGTAGGACAGACAATTCTAGACAAGGCTGCTCAATTTGTCTGCCAAGATCTAGGGTCGTCCGAGACTGACCTCAACGCTTGCGTCAGACTCCTCGTTCATGCAGTATACAAGACTCCAAAGACATACCAAGTCAAAGAGAAACAACTACTGAAACTTATGCATGGCCTTCTTGAGCAACCGGACATTATGGCCTTCCTTTCTTTCTCAGCCATCTTACAGCTATCAACTCAGCTATATGACGCTGAGCGGATCGAGACAACTCAACTCTCAAGCCTGATACCTCTTCTAGTCCGACATGCCTGGACATACCTTTCGGCATCTGAGCCAAAGTACCATGTGGAAGCAGTTAGGGGTTTGTGGCAATTGCAGTCAGCTCTCTCGACATCCAACCGCGATATTGAAGCAGCGCTATCCAGTCTTATCATTGCACAAGATACCTCCCGCTGTCACGGTGTTGAGCCTGTAGACAAGGGCCGCGCTTTGAGTGTGTTATGGTCGCACACCCTCCAAGACAACGCCCCTGCCGAACGAAGAGGCTCAAAAACGCCGATCCATGATATAAAGAGCCTTCCTCGACTTGCTGGGGCTGATAATTACGAAGTCATGCTCACGCAGCCAATATTCCTTATACTCGACGCTCTGGAAGATGACCGCACCCAACTCTACATGACGGTTAAGTCATGGCTGAATACTATGCTAGGAATTGATCGGTAAACCTCGTGCTTCCTACGGAGAATGCTTCTCGACTAACCTATCGCAGGCTCTTTCTGATATTTGTTTCTAGGCTGTCTGAGATACCATTTCTGCAAACACTGACACAAAGCGACGTGAAGGGCGGTCAAGTCTCAACATCGTTTTCCAAGGGCGAAGATCTGGATCTGGCCCTTTACTACTTACGGACACTGTCAAATATACTGGCGTGTGCTGGGGAGATTTCTTGGACTGTGCTGGCGTCCAAGCATGTTTCTTTTCATGGCCATCATATACAGATAAGCTGCAAGTCCCCCATCTATAAGTTGCCTGCATAACAACATTCTGACAAAAACCAGCTGGAGGTGAAGAGCATGAGATGACATTACAGGAGTTCTTCGTGAACGCGTGCATAAGATGCATAACGACGAATCCCACCGAAGCAGCCACACAGGAGTCTGACAGTCGTGTCAACCAACTCTACCGATACGCTCTTAGCCTCCTTCACAAGTTTCTCAATAGCCCCTTTGCTACTCACCTGTCAGCTCAACATCTTGAGGACGTGCTGATCGAACGGCTTGAGAAGTCGCTCCAAGGCTCCGATGCATATGTGCAGGTCCTCTTGCTTGAGGCCGTTTATGATACACTAAAGCTTCGAGACGTTGCTCCCATTGAAGCTCCTGCGTCTCCCATTTCTGAACGAAGGATGTCAACATTTGATCCTCGAGGAAGTCGTCCATCACTTTCAGCACCGGAAATCCGTCCAATTGCGACACCGCCGCCTCAACTTCTCCAGTGCCTTCAAGATGGTCTCAGCTCACCAAGCAGCCGCCCAGTCCTCGATAGTTGGGTTGCTTTCGTATCTGAGTGCCTACCGTTGTACTCGGATTCCATCTTTCAGGTAGTCATTCCTCTAGTTGAGACACTTTGCAAAGAAATCGACATGACCTTTGCCAATTTGAGGGGAACCTTTTACTCGAATGCTCTCTCAATCGGCAGTGAGAAGCAATCCCCCGAGTCTACACTGATATTTCTGCTTAATGGCCTCGAGCAAGTTCTAGCAAGAGCGCATCAGCGACTTCTAAACGAGGAGGCTCGGACACAGGTCATTAAGGGTCCGGACCAGCCCCAATCACTCTTTGGGAGCATGGTATCAAATGTCTGGCAGTCAGACAACACTCAATCCCGCAGTGCAACAGCAAACGACCGATTGACCGTCCATCTGGCTTTTCAAGATGCGGTTCGCATTTGTTACAAGATCTGGACATGGGGTCAGGGTGATGACTCAAATAAGCAAGATCAAGGTTCTTTTGGGTCGTTCAACTATACATCTCTGCGCATGCGCAATCGCTCTAGAAGGTTACTGGAACACCTTTTTGCTGCAGAAAGCCTCGAGTGTCTTGAGACCGTTATTGCTAGTTGGAAGCAGTCGACTGAGGAAGGAGAACCCACCCAAGTTTTCAACATGTTATCGGCATTAGAGGCATGCCGACCAAAACACTGTATTCCGGCTCTCTTTGGTGCCATCTACCGTCGTACAAGTGCTGGCAACGCCGATCCTACATCAAAGTCGACAATGACAATTTCGTTGCAAGACACTGATCTCGTCAAGTTTCTAGTGGAGTACACGAGAACATTGGATGATGATGCTATGGATGAAATCTGGCAGGACTGCATGGCTTTTCTTAAGGACCTTCTAACAAATCCATTCCCACATCGGCAGACATTGCCAAATCTTCTAGAATTCGCTGCTCTTCTAGGAGAGAAGGTTGACAATACCAATTTTGGAGAACAAAGAAGAATGAGAAAAGAACTAGGGGTAAGCCATAGCCTTGACATACTTAATGAACTATTTACTGACATTACTCCAGGACACCTTCATCCGTCTGCTTGCTGCTCTGTTTACTACAAGGCCGATTGCATTTGCTGACCCAGCAATGTCAAGCGGCGGCATCCCCAAATCCGATTCTGGCAATACTATCAATGGATACGGCGATGGACCAGATGAGGTTGTTTCTATTCTGGCTGGAATCGTTCCTAAATTAGCAAAGATTCTTGTCGAGCCCGATAGAGTACTTTCAGCCTCGGCGACTATTTCGACTAATGTCATCGGACCAACACTAAGGGCCAAGGGGTTCCCTGAAATAGTAACCCAGAACACCATGCGCCTTCTTCATGAGTTATCAAAAGTGCAAAATAACCAGAAGAACTGGAAGAAGGATGTGGGTGACGCCTTCAATGATGTGAAGTTCTTCGGAATGGATATGGACTTGGTGAAGGACGATTGGCTACCGCTGCTAAAGCAATGGACTTTTACTGATAAAGAAAAGATGTCCGAAATTGTTAGTCGCATCAACGCTCCGTCAACAGCTGGTATTGTGTTTGGTGTTGGTGCAACATCTGCCCGCCTCGAGGCTGATCGCAAGACGCAACTCAATCTTCGAAGAATTGCAACTTTGATCCTCGCGGGTTCGGAAGATGCGTTTGTTTCGGATCTGTCGGACATATTTGGAAAGCTGGCTGAGCTTCTTGGTGCCTCGTCAACATCGTCGCCATCATCAACCACTCGAGCAGATATCTACATGGTGTTCCGTGCTCTTGCTCTTAGAACCAGTGCAATTCATCTGGGCATGTTATGGCCAGTAGTCAACGCTGAGATTCATGCAGCTATCTCTTCAGTTGCTGCGGCCGACAACAGTACTGCTTCTGACACTTACACCAACGCTTCGGTCCTACAAGCCTGCAAGCTGTTGGATCTTCTGATTTGCGTTGCGCCGGACGATTTCCAGCTTCATGAGTGGCTTTTTATCACTGACACTATCGACGCCGTATATAGGCCATCGACCTATCAACCTGTGGCTCTCGTTGACGAACTTTCCGACGAGCTCGGAGCTACTGTGGCTGCTTCAAAATTCCACTCCTCTTCGGTGGTGAACCCAGTGGTACAGGGGTCATCTCGAAGGCCGCTACTCGGACTAGGAGGCATTAATGACGATGTCAGCCTTGAAAGAAAGGACGAATTGGTGGCCAAGGTGCTCCGGCCGTTCTTTGGACAGCTCAGCATCTTTGCATTTGAGTCTACTTATGCTATGGGACGCGTCGACAGAGAGGCATGCGTCTCAAGCTTGTTGAAGGATCTTTTTGATGAGCAAAGTATAGTTAGGGCACTGTAGAAGTAGGGCGCGTTTATAAAAGCGAAAATAGATTTGATAGACGAGCTTGTGCTCTCGACTAGCGACATATATGTTCAAACCAATACTATCCAAATAAAAGAAAGAAGCTGTTTCCCCATATGTTAGTGCCATGAAGGGCAATGACCCTGGGGCTGGTATATCCAAACTCGCCATCAGAAATCTCCATGTTTACGCCTGTAGGCCTTCTCCGCCAACTACGTCCAATAATTCAAACCAAGACAAAGGAAATAGAAATACAAAGGCTTGGACCTCGATGAGCCAACGCCTTACACTGATATCAACCTTGGGCATATCCCACAAAACCTGCTGGAGTAGCTAAGCAACTGCCTCGTATACCCCCCGAAGCAATACTGCAAACGTTGGGCGGCTGATCGAGCAAAGCCGCAGAAGCCATGGCTTCTTCCAGGGTACCTCCAAATACTCTTTCCACGACGCTCTCGAAAGAATCCTTCTCCATGACAGCTCCAAATTCCAAACACTTGGAAACTCCCACTAGTTCCGTGCCTAGTAGGTCCAGTCTTTCTAGCAGTAAGCTCTTGTCAAACCGAGAAGTAAGCTCGAACCAAGCTTGGACGGGCGTGATCTCTAGGTCCCCTGGGTTGAGACTTTGTGCAAGACCGTAGAGTGAAGAGAGAGATATCCGAGGCGACGGCCATTCCAGGTGAACGGGAGGTACGTAAGGGTCTAGACCGAGATTGCTACGGTTGTGACAGGATGTTGCTGATGAGATGAGTTTACGATCACCAAAGACGTCGAATGGGGCATTAGCCATGCAAAGTGAAGAAGCCATGAGAGTGTGGCCCTTTGCTTCATCGTTTGAGAGGTGGGAATGTGAAGGGTAATCGCCGACAAAGAAGTGATCCCAGCAGATATGCTCAAGACTATGAAGGGTTAACGAATCTGGACGGTACTTTTGTAGATGAAGATGCCACTCACGATAGGATGAAGTTGACGGCCTTTTGTTCTTCATACGGGGTTAGATTCAGATCTGGTGGTGGCGGTGGAGGACTTGTCGCGTTGGTACTTGATTCATTGGACCGGATACTAAAGGCAGGCGTCACCATTGAATCGTCCTTTTTGAGCGTAACAATAATATCGTCGACGTTGACATCCGCAAATAACTCGCCACCGTCGTTGTCGTACTGCGGCAAGGTCTCATCCTCCGCCCTTTGCCTCACACCCAACGCTTCATCAACCCAAGCATCATCACGGCCAGCAACAACATCTTTCTTGACATGATGATTTATTGAGCAGCGGTCGGATTTGCATTGCGGAACCTCGATGCCCTGGCTAGCGAGGAGGGCTCTGATGGACGTGTTGTCCCTTTTCAGCTGATCCGATTCAAATTCAGTCAGGGCGATAAGTTCACGGAAGTGTGTGATGTCGACTTCGAGCTGCTTCTGGTACTCTGCTTTGCGTTGACGGTGCTGGATCTGAGCTCTTCGGACTTGGGTGCGGCGAAGCTTTGCCTTTTCAGTAGCGGTGAGAGACTTGCGAGGTTTCTCAGGTGATGTCTCGCTACTATTCTCGGGTGCTGGGGTCGTATTAGTTGTTGCCTTAGTCAACTGGCGCGTTTATACGGAGTAGTGAGAGGAGAATCCGAGACAGTGCTGGGTGTCTTGTGGATAGCCTCCGAGTTAAAGGGCATAGGATAGTTTGGGCACTCAACTAGGAGAGCATTAAAGAGTAGTTAAGGGAGATATGACTGTTTAATGTCGCAACTTCAAACTCAAAATAAAGTGTACTTACACTCACTGCTCACTCCTCTACTCTTCCGTCCTCTCCGCTGCGGCGTGGCAGCACATTCGGGTCCTTCACAGATGGTTCCTTTTTGCTTTGTCTTTTTCAGAAACTGAGTAAAAGAAGGCCTCGTTTCCGTAGGACTTGGATCTGAACTCGCCATGATGTTACAAGATGTGATAGTATCGCCGCTGGACCTTTTTGTTATGTAGTAACTAGGTATGTTTAAGTTCCGAACCTCTGCCCACTTTAATGACTCTCAAGCTGGTTGGACTGATTTTGAGTTTGAGGTGAGTAAGCAGAGACAACGTGGACTAAAATCTGCAGCGGAATGTGTCCCGCCTGTTCGGTAAGTAGGAGAGAGAAGCTAAAAATAGCCCGAGTTACGTCTTTTCACCATAAAAATACATACATAAAAGATAAAGAAGACGATGGAAAAAGGAGGGATGCAAGGTAGTTTTGTTGTTATAAACTGCAGTCTTGATGCCTAATTCGGGAGGCATCTAGGATTTATCGCACCCATCTTACTCAGTCACCAATGCAATGTAATGCAATATACGTCACAAATCTTTAACACCTCCGCGGAGGCCGCAACAGACAAAATAATTACAGACGCAGTCCTTGTCCTTGGGCCATAGAACTTTTCTTTTCTCCTTTATCTTTAAGACTCAGTGTCTAGAATGTTTTCTAACTCCTCTCTAAGTCATGGCTACCCCAACTCCAAAGCTTCCTACGTTCCGATCAAAATCCTTCGGGTATAGTTAAAGCCTTTTTTAAAATCAAACAGAATACCCCAACGCCATGCTGGTGAAAATCACAAATCAATACTCCATCGTAAATCTGCTCATCAGAGCCTTACTCGTAGTCATCACCGTCGCTGTCCGTCGAGGTTTTGTCCTCGAACTCTTCCTCTTCGAGCTCGTCCTCGTCGTCCGTATCGTCACTGTCCTCGTCTTCCGCATTCAGTCCTGTTATCGACTTCCATTCCACATAGTCGTTCTCAAGCCACCGTTTACTGACTGGTAGTTGGTATGGGTCGAACGGGAAATAAGGGTCCAGCTGGTGGAAGCTCTCATCTTGCATATCGTACCCAGCATCTCGAAGAGCTCCTCCTGTTGAGTAAGTCGCCGTCAAGTATTGCGACAGGCGGATACGCTTGTTGCTCTCGATTAGAGGATAGATGTACATGAAATTGAGACGGTGCGCTATTCTGGCAAACTCTTCAACGATGCCGGGTGCGCAGACCTTGAGCGGGTTGAGTTTGCCAAATATTTGCGCAGATAGATCTCTCCTGCATGTTCCCATCCACTCCATCTCCTGACCAATGTAAGACGCAGGGTCTTCAGGGTCCACGGATTCCGGCGCTACGACAATAAGATCTTGCCAGCGGAAACAGAAAATGTAGAGTGTCGCCTGGACGAGGCTGTAGTAGGGGTGGAATCGCCTTAGGTCTGGTCCGCGACAAAGGGGCTCGTATTTCTTACGGTAAATGTCCAGGTGGTGAAGAAGGAGTCCAAATATGCTGCGAATCAAGCTGCCGGGAAGTCGGGCGCCACGGGCCACAAAACTGGCGAGGTATGATGCAGCTGCCTGTTTAGTGGAATTGGCTGTGTTACTCTTGAAAGCAGTGGTGATAAGCTGGCCGCAGAATGCATCTGTAAGACGGTCATGCATCTGAGCGAAATGGAAGATGAGGAATTGGGTATGCCGAGACTTGTAGGTGGGCAACACCATGTAGTCGAACTCTCGTAGCAAGACAGTGAACATGTCGAAAGCTACGTCAGAGCCTGGGTTTTCAAAATGAGGAGTATACACGCGGAAAAGGGTGTCCAGGATGGCGTCCATCTTTTCAACATTCTCCTTGATCAACTTGATCTTGGCGGCTTCCGTGTCGTAATCAGGATCGTCGCTATCGACCGAATCGGCATCGCTATCGTCGTCATCACCGTTGTCCTTCTCCCAGTCCGCTGTAAAAAGTTGTTTTTCTAGTGCATACATAACGGATGCAGTCCTTTCGTCATCCACATCTTCCAGATCGACTTGCATCTGGGAGTCAATCTTCACTACTCGATTGAGGATGAGATCAAACACCTCATCGCGCAAGTCTGGCAGGTAATCCTTGACGCGAAGCAGGTTATTCACGTAGCTCATGTGGACTCGCATGGACCCGTCTTGGTACGGGAATTTGGAGCCAAGGAGGCCCTCTAGCACAGGAACGGCGGATGGAAACATCTGGAGCAGATACTGCAATGTGCGATGCAGCCTATCGCGCATTGTCTCGCGGTTGACCTCAGGAAAATCCGGGACGCTCCACACGTCGGATCGACTGTCTGTGAATTTCTCAACCATCATTGCCAGAACAGGTGATAGATAAGAACCCTGGGCGCTGACAAGGGCAGCGAGGAAATGGGTGAAAACTTTGACGAAGGCATCATCACGACCGAGCCAGGAGCAGTTGAGGATGGTCTTGACAAGGCCGTTGCAAGCCTTGTCTTTGAGGATGGGAACGCATCCAGTGAGGGCCACGACGTAGACCTGTAGTTCATGTGGTTTCAGGGTATCATCTTCTTCCCCGACGACAGGCGGTAGGTATCGCTGCTTGTCGCTGGCAAAGAGTTCCTTGAGCGTGTCATACTGACCGTCGTTTCCTCTGAGGTGCTCCTCGAGAGCGGTCCTGACTTCAAGCTTCACCTCGTCCATTGTTCTCTTCCCAACCTCGTACGTCACGGTCACGTTTCGGATATCGTCAAACAAAACTTTGCGACGTTTTGTGGGACTCTCGGGGGCGTCGATCGGGTCGCTGAGACCAGCATCCTCGGCTTTTCTCCTGCCCAAGACAGATACGGGCTTAAGGATGGAGCGGACGGGCGCCGAGCTCTTTGTAGCAGGACCAGAAAGTTTCCTGGTCGTCGGAGTAAAAGGTCGCATGAATGCAGTTCGTATTGAAAACCCGATGATGTCTCGTTCGTTGTGCGCTGCGGCTCGATGGGATGAGGGGGTTGACTCGATCAAGAGTGGTGGCGTCTCTCAGGTAACAGCGAAGGGTCCGTGAATGTCTGGGGATGTTCAAGGTATAATCATTGATTGAAGAATGTGTTGAGATATTAAATGGCAGGGATTACCAGTCATAATACGCATGTCTCATTAGCACGACTGTTGGTTGAAGAGAGGTGATGGAAGTGAACAATGATTGTTTTATTTGCCAGAGGTGGCGGTAGTAAAAGAAGATTGAGCCTCAAGGTTTAAGCGCTGGATAACTTTTTTCTTCATTTTCTGAGGGGTCCCAATTTTGGCGATTTTCAGGCAGCACGTGCCTCTCCCTTCCCGATCGGGACTGGCTTCTCCACATCGAATTGTTATTGTGCATTGCGTCACATTAAATGCAACTACGGCTTTTATGTATAAACGAACCGGTATGAGAAAAATTGGCCGCCAGAAACATAAAGGACAACATTAGTAGATCAGCTTATGCTGCTTAGCTTAGACTTCTTAGGTTATTTATTTTTATCTCTTAAGGTTTAGGAGGCCAGTTTTTCTAGTACTCACTGGCTGCCTACACAAGGACACACTATTCAAAGGCTATTAGAACCTCTGTCTTTGAATATCAACCAAGTTCTTTCTATCCTGTCTTCAGGGTATCAGAAAAAATGGCCGCTGGAGGCTCAAAAGTCCAGATAAGTAAGTCAGTTTATGCCATTTAGATCATATTAGGCTGTTTATTATTGTACCCTAACGTTTAGGAGGCTGCTGTTCTGTTCCTCTTTGTAGAATGTATGTTCGTTTTCATTTCTCATCCCCCTCCCAACGTTCCAGGGTTGTTCTTTCCATTATCAATCCAATCATACAAATATTGACGTAGCCCATACGATTGTCTAGCTTCAGACAAAGATGGTCGGCTTCTATGGCATCGGATACGCTTAGGTAAGAGCGGGATCGATGACTGGTGTGTCGACTTCATCCTGGTCAGCACTGGTTGTATTGGGTGGGCTTATCGTATGAGCTTGGGCTTCGCCTGTCTCGTCTGGTTCATCATTCGAAAATGCGGCCACCAAGTCCATTCGATTCCACTAATAACCTTCGGCGGCATTACCGTTGTGGCCGGGCTGATACATGTAGTTGGGGTCAGCACCTTCAACGCTATTGCCTTCATGTCCAAACTCGCCGGCGCCAGATTCGGCCTTGGCATCGCCCATCATAGTACCGGAACCCCATTGTCCGTTATCCATGTTTACCCTCTCTCGGTTGGATTGGTTCTGTTGCTGTTTTCGTGAGTCAGTTTGCGCGACTAAAGCACTTATGAGCCATTTGGCTTACCTCTCGGTACTTGCTCAAGTAAACCTTGAGGGCTTCAGCATAGTTCTCAAAGCCGAGGGATGTCATGGCAAAAAGAATGTCTTCACCATTGACGGTCTTGCGCTTTTCCTGTTGGCACTTTTCCGATGCTGTGCGAGTTAGCATGCTGCACGAGAGACATGATTCGGATTTGCCGAAGCTGTAAGTCTCGGTAAGATAAAAGGGCCTGTAACTCACCTTCACTTGTGATGAAGGAGATGAACTCGCTGACACATTCTTGCATGCATTCCTTGGCCTCTTTTGCGATTTTGGCATTTTCAGGAAGGGCATTCTTCATAATGCGAGCAACTGGAGCAAAGTTTCGGATGTTAGCATCAAGCTCATCAGCTCTGTCGGCCTTTGAGGCGCGAGACGCTTTAGGGGATTTGGAGGACGAATCGCAAGACATGAGAGGGATCCAGATATGCACGGCTGATCGGGCTGAGGCGTTGAACAGCTCGCGCAAAAAAGGAACGAACAAATCATATCGGGATGCCTCAAGTGATAGATGACTTACCATTGGCTATAGGGAGCCAGCGGTCTTGTTCCTTTACACCTTCAAACTCGTAACCCGCGGTGTTTGCGGACTGTGGGTCTTGTTGCTCATTCATTTGTGCTTCGTCGTCGGGTGACGGTGCACCTTGGTCAACCTCCTTGGGAGGGGATTGGGGGGAATCCGACATATTTGGCTACCTGCAGCGGCTGCTAGCGTCCTTTGTCAAAGGGGATTTCGGGCTCGCACAGCTAGGCCTCGCGATGATGTGTCCCTGGCCACGTCGCAGACGGTAAGGCTTGCAAGCGTTAGGGTGTGTAAGAGAGGTAGAGGGGTCTTTGTTCCTGCTCTGCAGTGCAGTGCTGCGCAAAAGTTAGTCGAAAAGTCCCGATTGCAGTGACTGACGGTAAGGTTCTTTGTCGCTCATGCAGGTGGTCCCTGGCCCGGGATCTTGGGCTATGACGCTGTTCACATGGAGATGATGGGGGTGTGTGTGAAAAGGGACTGGTAAATGTGGACTTTGAAGACAAAGGTAAGTCAGGGTATCAGAAAGGTTGGCCGCTGAAAACATAAGGAACCAAATTAGCAGGTGAGTTTATGCCACTTAGCCTATGCTTCTTAGGCTACTTATTTTTGTACCCTAACTTTAGGAGGCCGGCGTTTCTGCTACCCACTAGGTAGGCAAGGTGAGGTGAAAGACAATGGACAGAGGGGGTGGACCCTTTCGATGAAGGGCCAAGCAGAATGAAGGCGGGGACCAGACTTCGAGATCCAAAGAAGGGCCCAAGTAGGTGGGTGGGCAGGGCAGGGCAGGGCAGAAAATGCCATGATTGTAGATACGTACATAAGTGTGTGTTCCCAGTAGAGAGTGTGAAGTGTATGTATCTATGTCAAAGCATGCAGACAAGTTGCGCAATGTTGGGTTGTGTAGTAGGAAAAAATGTTGAAACAGAACTGTCTGTAACAAGCCAAACAGGCAGGCCAGTAACGGCTGATGCATACAAATCGAGGGCAAGAGCCGACGCGTGCAAGAGTAAGAGCAAGAACAAAGCTGTAACACACGCGTTGGAAACGCAAAGGATACGCGCAGGAAGACAAATTACGCGCAGGACTTGACGCAGGGAGATAGGACGTCACCGTTGCTAAAGCGAGCGTCTCAAGATCGAATCAACGGGGACGGAGCGGTGCAGATTCGGGTCGCGATTGTCATAGGACGGAAGGGAGTGCGAAAGGTTTACCGGGTACGGAGCTTGAAGAAGGACTGGGTTACACGAGGAGTTCAAATAGCAAAGCGTCTCGTTCGCCAATGCCAAACCCAGTTGCAGCTTGAGTGAATCTCCAGATTCCTATGAGCCGCAGGGCCTAACGTTCCAAATCGCGTCAGGAACAGACGGAGAGGGATAGGTAGAGAGAGGATTGAACAGGGGCGTGTGTATGCCTGATTCAACGGGTGGATGGCTGATTGATTGATTGATTGATAGTCGATGGAGCGCGCAATCGATGGAGTTCGCACACAGACAGGGGAAATTGAAAGCTACTGCACCTACTGACAGGACGATGGAACGAGGCTAGAGAGAGAGGTGTGAGTTAAGATACTCTCGGTTGCGATTGATTGATTGAATGGGCGAGTGTGAGTGTGAGGAGCAATGAAAGGGTGTCTGAGCTGTTCGCTTGTGGTCGCAGTTGAGGTGCATAATATGGGGCGTGGGGCTCGTTGGCTGGGAAAAGTGTTACTTACAATTGTTCAATAAGTGTAGTTGGCACAATAAAGTGAATAATACGATTAGTGTGTGTAGAGGCGCAATGTGCGGTCAAAATGAGACGCGATCTGGAGCAAGGGCCGATACTGGAAAGGTTAAAGTAAGATGAAAGTCTGGAAGATAAGTGCCAGAGATTGGGATCCAACAGGTAAGTGCATGTTTCGTTTTCACATCTCGCGTTAGCGGGCAGGTACCAACAAAAACATAGGTCCTATCTGCCAAGGCTAAAAGCCTAAGCTACTAAGGTGGTTGCTACAGTAGGCTGAAGGGTACTAGAAAAGCTGGTCTCTAAACTTTAGGATATAAAAATAAATAGCCTAAGAACTATAGGCCAAGCTGCATAAACTGACCTACTAATTTCGTCTCTCATGTTTCCAACGGTCAATTTTTCTGATAGCCTGAGGAGCAACCTAACAGCAGGTCGGTCCCCAGTAGAAACTTGGGTCCAATTATTGTTATCGATAACATGCGGGCCGCTTCTAGCTAGCCTCATTTAGCTCAGACTTTTAGTGACGGATAATGAATGGATGTCATTCATAGCACGGGCCTCGATCAAGACAACCACCACCAATTACTTTCACACAGCAACAATAAATCTGACAATGTGATGATAATCAAAATATCATGAATATCATCACCATTCATTCACTGCAGTTTTGGTTGTCTCTGCAAAGCCCGACACCGCCAGATCCATCCCGTCTGATCCGAGCAAGGAATATTCGCACGATGGACCATCAACATGCTCGTTTCCTTGATTCCTTCAGCCGCTAAAAGCACTGGCTGGGCTTTTGCTGCAAACACTCCCCAATTCAAGGGTACATTACACACAAACATGGCCCCAGGTTCAGGCGGTGTGTCGCAAATTCCCTTTGACCTTGCAGTTGCGTCCGTCCGGGGGAGGACAATCGTACGAAAAAGAAGCCCGTGTTTCTAATGATACTGTACCAGCCTGCGCTACGATGGCTTGTACTGGCCGAGAAAAACGTGTATCAGGTAATACACCCAATACAACGACTGCTGTAGAGTTGGTAGAAGCCCGTTAACGAGGCCTTCTTCTGCATTTTGTTTGATCAGGATATACTCTACTGACAATCTGCAAAAATGACCCCATCTTTGATGTCTCCTCAAAATGACGTTCGTATCCAGGCACTCACTGACGTATCAAACACTTGGCCGGTCACGATCAATCCCATCTGGGCGGTAACAAAAGGGTGGACGACCTAGTTTTTTTAATTCGACAATGGCAGGCATTGTTCATCAAGCCACCTGTCAAGAATAAAGAAAAAACAGCCTAGTCTCGTACACTTTTGTCACCAACCCAGGCTGTTGGGGCTGGGCTAGGGTCATCAGTGTGTAGCCTGTTCTTCTATTCTGGGCCTCATTTGCGCCTCGCAGCCTGTAAGCTCCTGGGAATTACAGGGTTATACCTCAACCCGAGCCAGAACCCGAGCCCTGAGCCTAACGAGTAAATCCTAAGCCAGCTACTCAGCCTTTTTAATATCATAACCCACTCTTGTTCTGGGATGTTAACTACTAATCTGCAAAGACCCGACAAGCCGGGACCAGTATCATCTTAGTTAGCTCAAATTTACCAATCAAAGAGATTGTGTTTGTTTATATGCTTTCGAACTGTTCTTTTCAGCCGAGGCTTACTGCAGTTGCCATGAACGGATTTCTAGTGTAGGTAACATAACATCCATGTTGAGTTTGGCACTTTCATAGTTGAAACCCAACGTATCCATCCAATACCCCGAAAGTGCACTTGTCAGTTCAGCCAAGCCACAAACAACTCTAGAGATTAGAACTTCCATGTCATACCACATGGATCTTTTGGAGGGAATCGCCGATGCAGACGGATAGAGTTACTGAGGCTTACATGTCTTTTGGCGGTCAAATCAGCACGAGGATGATGATGTATGCAGCAGCTTCTTTCACAGCACGGATGCGAAAACGACATATCATCTACTGGTGCAATTCAATAGCAGTACCTGACGATCTTATACTTTTACGTCGCACATATGAACTCGTCGACTTCCATTACCAAGTTGTTTTGACATAGGTGTGTATGCTGCCATCCTCGGTCGCCCCGAGTATCAAAATTGATTGGGCTTCAACACATCAGGAGTGACTTCGAAGCCTATTTCTGAGAAGACAAGGTGCATATCGTAGATCATTAACCCATCACCGTGCCGCAAGGCCTACGTTTGAAGAGGGGACGTGAACATAACAGCAGCCAGTCAGATGCTTCCATCGTGCTTTTGCTTGTGAACAGCCGATCTGCTGCTAAAGCTGGGTGCATAAGACTTAACGCTGTTGGACGGCGATAAACATGAACAAGAGACTTGTAAATAAAGGCAGCAACTGATGACTTGCAGGCTGCTCCATATCGATCAGACTCTTTCAAATCTCGGTGAAGATCACTTGGACTATACAGGTAATCTTAGCTAGCGTTGTATACATAAAACAAGACGCCAGTTGTACATCATGCCATATGGAAGATCCTTTGATTTCTCGCTTGTCATGCAGTTTGTCTAGCAATCCAAATACCATGACGCTAGAGCATCAAATACGTCAAGACATCTGATGAGCTACAGGTTTTGAGAAACCTCGTTGTCCGAATGCACCTTGTAGTCTCCTCGACACTGCCCCTTCTTCGAACATGACCTACATGTACAGTTGATGCAGCCGGTGGGTAAGCCTCGTCGATCGGAAGGTTTTTGTCCAGACAAATACATGTCCACCCTTCTGGTCTCGCATTGCATTTCGCTGCACTACGTTGTGTCTCTTGTGCTCTGCACGTCAATATGTTTGAGGTCCCCGGGCCTCAATGCGGTTGGGTATGGAGACGCACTTGACGCCAAAACCCCCAGCAGCGCGCAGCAAAATGTACAACGCACTCACACCATCTTTTCACTTTACTCCTCGTGTTGCCTGTTCAGCCTGAATTTGGAGGCGTCTGACAGTGAGTGAGCAATCAACAGGCCCGTCTATATTAAGGCGGAATCAAGTGTTAAGGATATTGGACCAAGGGATACTGAAAAGAAAAAAGTTGTCAGTTTTCTCGTGTAAAAACACCTGTCAAATGTGATGTATTCAATATTCTCAACGTCCACGTTGCAGAAATCATGATGTTTTCAGTGGTTTAAACAAGGCCCAAGTGTTCTTGTAAAACAGGAAACCTTTTGTTCAATTCTGACCTCGTAAACTTATTATTGCTGTACAACCTGCACATTGTGCTTTTTCTGTACGTTACTTGTTAGCATCTCTCTTCTTTGCAAAGCACGAAACCATCTGTCGTAAAGACCAGCTTACCTTCCACTTCTCAAGATCATCCTGCTTCGTCTTGTACTGCTTCACTAAATCTTCCAACACCTTACGGAGTCCTTCTTGGTTAGTCTTGAGGGCTGGGACTACGTCCTTGACCGTCCTCTCGACGAGTACTCCATTGATGAGACGGAAACACTTTCTATCCTCGGAAAGGGGTTCTAGGGTCTCTAAGACGAGCCTGTTCAAGATTGAGTTAGTTAAATATATCAAAAACATGGTGAGATTCTGTAAAGCGACATGACAAGAGATGGGTTTGACCACACCGACGTCATGCTTTCTCTTGACAGAAAGGTGAAATCGATGACAGTGACTGAGATCGGGATGCCTACTTATGCTCCTCAGCTTCTTGCTCGATATCACCAATTCTCTGGGCTATTTGCTGGAGAGTGTTCTTGTAGTTGGAATAGGTGACTTGAAGATCTGAGAGTTTGGACAGATAGTGAGCAACAAGTTATTGAGAGATTGTGAGGGGGCGGGGTAGAGACCAACCTTGCTGCTTCTTAGCAGGCACTTGACCTGCAGCTGCTGTAGACATATTGAGAAGAGTTGTGTGGTTTAACTCTCCTGCTTCTTCTTTTTGTTTTAGATGAAGATAGCAAAAAGTTGTTCACTATCAAATGAAGTGAGTGAATGCCCCTCCAAAAGCTTGCCCAGGCGTGCTGGAATCTCCTACCTGGTCCGTGCACACCGCCCCAATCTTCAATCTTCCCATCGACCTGTGGCGATCCACGGATTTCTTTCAGGGTCCTTTTACATAGTAACTCTGACAATAAGTTATCTCGGAATAAATATGCATCCTCATCTCCATACAAAGAACGCCCTAGGTAAAGCGAAACTTTATAGTTTATAATTCTCTCTGCATTGTGCTAACCGTCAATTGCAGCGTGCGAAGAGGTCATCGCCGCCCTCGAGCAGTGCCATGCCCAGGGCTTCATGCACAAGGCTGTTGGAAGTTGCAATACTGCCAAGGAAAGGGTCAACGACTGTCTAAAGATTGAGAGATCCAAGATGCAGGCCGAGAATCGTAACGCCGCTCGCGCAAAGCGTGACAAGATCAAGGAGCAGCAGCGCGAGTTGGGACTGTAAATGAGAGACACAACAAAACCTCACGACACGAAGCCGACGATCCCGAATTCGACGATACTAGGTCAACGGCCGATTCTCTTCAATATGTGCTATGAAAACACATGGGTTGGCGTTCCGGATGATCGATTCATAAGGCGGGCGTATGGAATCCATAATCGAACTGTACCTATAATCAACGATATACAAGTATTAATTATCATGATACGATCCGTTCAGCCACCATATGGCCCCCGTCATCGCTTATAATGCTTCCAAGGTCATTTCGAAGATCGGTCGGTTTACTATTGCGGAAAAGTTTGCTCTCGAATTAGACTAACCACAGTAACTTGAGGATACATGATGAATGACGATAGGGCGGGCAAAGGAGTCCTCTACATGTTGCCTTTTGTTGTTTCGTCATTTCAGGCCCGACGGATATATAATGGCAGACCAAACACCATGGTTCTTCGATTGCTTTCAGTCAGGGCGTCACTCGAGACAATCACATCAGGGGTATGACATAGCTTAACCAACAATAACTCTACAGCAGGCTTATCTTTTATATTGGCACTTCGCACGGCAATTGGCTTAACGTTGATGAAAGTCTCCGTGATACTTGTTGTCAAGATGCAATGTCTTGTGGTTGGGACTGGATCGGCATAGCATCATTTCTATATGGCTGGTCTATGGTCACCAACGACTTGCAACTGGAGGTGTTTGTATAACCTACAATTCTCCACTCTTTGAATCTACAGTAAAATTATCAAACATTGTGATAGCAGCGATATATCGGAGTTCGCATACGTTCTAAGGTTGTTAACAGCGAGGATGGATTCGGTCTAAACATCATCAGGGTTTTGGCACCTTCAACCTCTTCAGTATCAGTATAGAGCCTGTTCTGACTTGTATGTCAGATGTTGCATAATGAAATGTTCTCAGGCTAACAACTATATTATTCATCGCTACCTACAAAGTACAAAATGATCCACGTGTCGATCACCCCAATAACATTCTTCCTTGTTTAACTTAAACCTTTCTTCGCAGAGCGGTGCCGAAGGTAAAGAGACCGAATGCCGAGATGACACTGAGAAGAATAGGGACAGGCTTCATCGAGCGAAGAGCTCGAGGGAACGCCGAGCCTCCAAGAACGACCGACGCGAGCAAGGCAAGCTCAACTCCATAAGATTCCTCGTTCTGGATACGGTAACCACCTAGGGCGTCTACAAGTAACTGTTAAAGTCTTCCTTCAGAGCAGCTAGGTAAAGGCGAACTCAAAACTTACACAGAAGTCCAACAGTACAACCAGCTACGATGGAAGGAACAGATCGTGACTTGGCGTATCCCATGATACCTCCGCCTGCTACCACAGCGCCCATAATGTAGGCAGGAACCTCAAGGTCATGATAATTGACGGTGACAGGTGCCTTTGATAATAGATCAGCAAGCTATTGTGTGCATCTTTGGTGGGCCTAGTACATACCATTTTGTGGAATGATAATATGTCGGTTATATGTAGGTTTGGTATTTCAATTGTTCCTGAAACCTTGACGATGAAGTAGCAAGCCTGGCCTTTTATTATAGAAGCTGCGGAGCTCTCGGCCATTGACGACATGTAGGGGAGGTACGTACCTTCTGAATTAGAGGTTCAGAGTGGGCCCTGCCCCAGGATTCTAGCTCTCGTTCAACCAATCATGTATCTCGACATTTTGGAGCTTTCGTGTCCAGAGGGAGCTCTCCATCTCTGGCTGCTGCCCATTAAACAAACCAAAATCACCAACACGAACATCTCGAATCAAGCATAGGTCATCACCCCCCCCGCGATATTGACAATCAATATCTACATACCGAACAGAACCAGAATCCACAACCTTCACAATCATGGCACCGAAAAAGAACGCTCGCGACACCACCTCCTCCGCGACTGCTGCCACCTCTCAGGCCAGTACTAGCACTACTGCGCCTATCCCTCTTGCACCTGAGCAGACCAAGCCGGTTCTTCCTAAGAAGAGTGATGCCAGAGCCGATGTGCAGTGGGACCAGATTCCCCAGACTATCTACAATCACTACATCAATGAAACTCCCCAACGCATCATGCTACTTGACATCTTTCTAGTGTACCTAGTCGTTGTGGGTGCAATTCAGTTCGTCAACTGTGCCATCGCCGGCACTTTTGTACGTATCAAAGAGCTCCTATTCAAGTTTGCGAATACTGATCCTCCTTCAGCCTTTCAACGCTTTCCTGTCCGGTTTCGGTGTGACGGTAGCACAGTTCGTTCTCACAGGTAAGCTTCCATGGCGAATAGCTCGA